CTGCATGCAGCACACAGGGTCAGTCTGGAGCATGCATTACGTGTGGCACCTGTGCTGGACCAGCCTTGCATACTGGATCGAGGTCTCGTCTAGATTGGGCTCATAGATGAATCCTACATGCTGGATCCAGTGTGCAGGGCCAGTCCAGCCCAGGCACCACATCCATCATGCAGACCTGCCTTACACATGTTGCATATGGTATACAAAGCTGGAGCTGGTGCACACGCTGCAAGCAGAACATGGGGCAGTCCAGGGTGCATACTGCAACAAACCTTGCTGGGCTGGCCATGTTCGCTGGATCTGGCACATGGGGCTAGTCTGTGAGCCCAGTCCAGCCTGTGGACTGGCCGCAGTCCATCATCTAGCCCCTGGGCCTGGACAAGTTTAACACTTTGATTTAAGGCACTGAGTACTTACATGTGAAGTGTAGCAAAAAGCCACCATACATTTACATACCTTTGTGCTGCATGCAAGACTGCACCATGTTGGGTGACCAGGTTTAATATGCTTATAGTTGTCTGCCATGTCACATCCTCCCATATCCCAGCTGTCAACACAAGCATTCAGCAGTGTTTTGGAGAATCAGACAAAACTTTTTCTCCAGGATACCTCAGTGCTGCTTCCAGGCTTCCTGTCTCAGTGCAGTGGAGTGCAGGCCCTCTCGAAGCTGTATGCACATGACCTAAATTTCCTCAGAGCTATCAATAACACCTAGAGCCTCATTTCTTTTCCCCTTGTATTAGCAACCACACTCTAGATTTGGTAGAATATTGCAGCAATGTAGCATGTACATTTTGTTTGCATGTGTTGAGAGAGCTTCAGCTGAGAAACGTCCCTTACTGTTAAAAAACTGTGAGTTTTGAGCCTTTTACTTCCGAACTCCTACTGCCACATCTTCACTTGTTTCTTTGCAGAGTTAACTTAAGATCTTTTGTGTGGGAGAATGTGGTATGTGCCAGAGATGTTTGTGTTTAGCCAATTTAAGAGGCTTTTGGCTTGGAAAAAAGTATAACGCCTGAAACTAAGAGCTAAAAGGTAAAGGTAAAGGTGAAGCAAACCAAGGACTATCTAGGATTGGTGAATACAGGCCAGCTCTCCCACATACTCTTGTGTTATATGACTTTAAATACACTGTTATCAATTAAAATTTGAAAAAACCCTACCGAAAAGAGAGGGCAAAAATGTATAATGCTCCTTGTTTATCAACTAAACTTGCTATGATATAAAATGCAGTCTGTTACTAGACTATCTAACATGTAGATAGATTTTACCAAATAAAATATACATGACTCTCTCTGCTTGCATGTGAAATTTTATAAATTAATGAATGACTGTGAAGAGGAAATGCTAGAAAACAGTTGATCTACTAAGTGGGAACAGTTATCATCCTGCCTCACGGTGTTTGAAAGCCCAGAATGGTTAATATGCATTTCCTTTTCCTGTAAACTTCTACAGCAGGGGCGGGCAATTATTTTGGGCGGAGGGCCGCTTACTGAGTTTTGGCAAGCCATCGAGGGCCGCACGACAGGCAGCCCAGGGCAGATTAATATTAATTTTCTAAATTTTTTCGGGGCCCCCGGGCTGGATAGAATGGCCTGGTGGGCCGCATCCAGCCCTCAGGCCACATTTTACCCACCCCTGTTGTACAGCATTATATTTTTGTGTTAAGAGCTGAACTTGACAGATCACTTTCTAACTGATGTGTCTAGAAGGGGTCACAACATGTTAGCTTTCTGTGAGCTGTACTCCATCTGGATTGACTTCCAGTTGGTTGCTGAGGGGAACTCGGTGTATTTGTTTCTGCCTGTAAAGCCCTAAATGAGCTGAAACTTGGCTTGGAGAATCTGCCTCTTTCCTAGAGCTCTGCTGCAACAGCTGAGATCATTTCAGCTGACATCTCCTTGCTTTAGGCCCTGTTCACCAACAATCCTTAATGAGTAAGGCCCTGAAGCATGTGCTTTGCTGAATCAGGCAAAGATTCTTCCTTTGCATCCTAGTCTGGAACTTGTGGGACTTCCAGATATGTTAAGCTATGGTTAAGCAAGGCTTCAAAAGGGAGCTCAGGAAGAGCAGGCTTTAGTGAGCTTTGAATGACTTGATGAGAGATGTAGAAAAATGAGCAGGGAAGCTGGTACAAGAAGGAAATCGTAGGAGCAAAGCCAAATTAATGAGGACAGGTGATGAGATGAGACCAAAAGGATCAGGTATGAATTTGGCAGAGACAAGTAAAAATAGGTGCTTTGGCAAAAGGACAGATAAATGATGACACAAACTTTGGTATTTGGGGTATAAATATAGGTGCTGTAGGGCTTGTTTCTTTGTTGCAACCTAGAGGAGTGCAATTAATGCACAAATTGCTACCATGGGCTCGGGCAGTTTCGCTTAGTTGAGCTCCTCCAGCTAGTGCATGGTCCATGCGACAGTAAACTTCTCTGAGCTTTCTCCGCTGATCGCAAATGTGAGTTTTTCTTTGTGTCAGACCTGGACTCCAGGAAGCTGCTTAAAAGCCACAGGCACTTGGGGAACACAGACTCTAGCAGCCTGCTCACCGAGAATGACAGTAAGCAGGAGGCTACCCAAACACATGCATTATAACAACAGGACTCACTGTACTCCCTTTTCTAGTCCACCAAAGCCTGTTTTCTAGCTCTTGGGCAATGCTGCAATCTCTGTCTATTTGCTCAAGATTTTGAAAAGAGTTGAGTCAAATGGAACATTCTTCCTGTTAGTTTCTGACTGACATACTTCAATAGCACTCTTTTTTGTGCAGGCTTCTAGATGTAGACAGACTTTAAAAACAATAATTAAATGCCATATTTTCCTGCAGTTCACTTGGGTTTTATCACCATCATCTAGGCTACTTAAAACCACAGTGGTTACTTGCAAATAATTGTAAGTGTGTATGTGCATGTGTCATTATTAGCAGCAAGTGTAGCTTAAGTTCAGTTAGCAAATGCCTGGTAGGTTCCTGGAAGGGGTAGAAGATGCAAGAAAGCCTAGGTAATTGCAAGGTGTTCCTTGTTCCTAGCTCCATGTGGCTTCTGAGTGTGTGCAGTACATGGGCAACTGTTGCCACCTTAGGGGAGGCGTGTGCTCCCCCAGTGACCAGGGGGAGGGATACCCCTGCAGCCAATCTTGCCATCTGAGGGGGGAAATCCCCCCCCCCCGCCAATCACACTGATCGGGAAGCAGCCACAGCACTACATCTGGCGCTCCTGCCTGCCCCCCTGCGCGAGGGGGGGGCCTGTCTGGGGGAGCATGTGGAATTGTGGTTGATAAAAAGAAACAAAAATCCCCCCAAAAACAAGGACGAGGACGGAAAGGGTTCTCTATGTTTTAGCCCAGTATTGAGGGCACTTGTCCAGGCAGCAGGAGACACAGACCCTTCTCTTGTAGCTAAACCACTGCATCTTTCATTTAGTATTCCTTGGATAGACTGGATAAAGAGCAGTGAGGAAGTTAATGCCCCATTTGGAAGAAAGGGTCAAGACTAGAGCCCAGCAGCCATGTCACTGAGCCATGGTTTCTTTCTCCTGCCCCTGCATATCTCTGCTCCTAGCTGTCTTGGATTCCTGCTGGCATCCTTTCAGTCGTACAACCCTATCCATTCATACTCGTCTAGAGATACTGCAAGAAAGAACTGGCAGGTCTGTCTGTTGTATTCAATATGGTGGTGGCTCCACATGTTCTAAGACAGATCTCAGACTTACCCTGGATTCAGCGAGGACAGTGAAGTAACTGTTAGCTTTACTTATGGCCATCTGTGCTGAAAGTCCTAAGATTACCTAGACATGTCTACACATTCATTAATGCACTTTAGCTAATGTGCATTAAATCTAATACCTCCATTGTGAGGTATTAGAAAAATGCTCATTAGCCTATTTTAATGTGCATTAGCAAAAGAGCATGGTTTTTTGTGATGTTTTAATTTGCATTAAAATAGACTAATACACATTAAAGCACACATGTAGATGCACCCCCCCAACTTTTCCTCAAAAATGTTATTATTGGATCCTCTTGTTTTGTTCTCTGTTTTTTAAAGGGCATTTTTCCCCTCCTACACCCTGGACCACTCTGCTTAAATTCATTTGGCTTAATAAAATTATATGGAAAATTAGGTTGGGACCTGAGCTGAAAAATTCTGCTCTGTGTTTTCCTTCTGTCTTCAGCTTTTGCTTTGAATTAATATAGTAGTAGCCACTGGTTGCTGCAGTTTCAAGTGTACTTTTTGGACTGTAACTGCAAGCTTCTCCAGACTATTTTCCTGGGATCTCTCTTTTAGGAGAAGATTAGCAGTTGAAAAGAATTGACATTGATGGCTTAATACTTCCAAGAATTCTAACAGTATAGATGGCATACTCATGAAAAAATCATGACAAGGAAATATATATAAAGCAAACATAATGCTGTGGAGAGAGAGCATCTCTTGGGGAGCAAGTGTTCCTGCTAGTAAAGGCCATTTAAACAGCATCCCTAGACTTTAAAATCATTACATTGCATTTTAACCTCCTGGCATAGATCCCCTTGATGAAATAAAGGAGCATGCTTTCCCTAATGGAACTGTGAAGAAATGCAGTGTCCTGAAAAAAGAAATGACTTTTTATTGACAAAATTGACAGAACAAATTGGGCACAAGCAGTGGCACTGTCATCAGTGTGCATCGGTTATGAGGCAAAGGAGCCCATTTTCTACGCTGAGACAGCAGCTCAGGCTTTCCCACATAGAAACCTGTATAACCTGAATTATTTCCTACTGGAGGTGTTTTGCATAGGCATGAGAAAAATGAAGCCAGCATAATGGATAAACATGATAGGGTGGTGGAGGAGAGCATGTCTAATTTATGGAATTCCCGCGTTGGGGAAGTTGACTAAAGGCAGGTCATCAGGCAACTTGACTAAGGGAAGGAAAGATGTTTTTTGTTTCCCTCCAAGATACCGTGTGAAAACTACATGCAGTCATTTCTGATTAATTTTTTTTCCTCCTGTTTTGTGATCCATTAGGATGCAGGTAGTCAACAAATAGGTTTCTTGCTTGGAAGCTGTGGCGTTACTGTGGCCTTGACTAGTGATGCGTGCCATAAAGGACTGCCTAAAAGCCCTACAGGGGAGATACCACAGTTTAAAGGTAAGATAATTTTCACTTAAACTGCATCCTGTACAGAAAATCCACATGTATACAGCAAATTTATAGAACATGTCACATTTACTTTTAATGGCCAAAGATAGAAATTAGTCTCAAGATAGGATGTACTAAACTAAGCACTCAAATGTATATACAGTAATATTATCATGTAAAATCCTCTTAGTCTTTCCCAGTAGGATTGTTTCTGTGAATAAAATGAGTAATACTGAGTCAATTATAATACACAGGCATAGAAAACATTTGAAATAAACTTACGTGCAAACGAATTATGTTCATTGGTGCTGTTTTTCCAGCATTAACTCAGGAAAAGTTTTTCTCTGTCTCTATGTGATTGTTTTTCAGGCTGGCCAAAGCTGCTTTGGTTTGTAACAGAATCTAAACATCTTTCTAAACCACCTCGTGACTGGTTCCCACATATCAAGGATGCAAACAATGACACTGCATACATTGAGGTGAGCTAATAAAGATTCATTTTCCTTTTGACCCAGTGTATATGGCACTGTTGGATACCATAAGATAAGCATAATTATCCTTTGGCTGTTTCTAGAAACAAAGAGCATCCTGTTTAGCCTGCTGATAAGTAATCTCATTGTAAATAGAAGTATATACCGAATGCAAAAAGGTTAATGCAATGTTAAATCTGCATAGTTAACTTTCTGTCTCTCTAAACTTCTACAGCAGGGGTTTTCAACCTTTTTGGGTCAGTGTACCCTCAGCAGCCAGTCGAGATGGCAGGAGTCCCCTGGCAGCCAGACAAGTGGGGGGGATGGGGTCCCCCCAGCAGCCCATTGGCGACCGGGGGGGTCCCCCATAGTTGATTGGTGGCTGCCGGGGATGAAAGTGGCGGCAGCAGCACTTGCTGCAGTGTATCCTCTGAGGCCGTTCCAAGTACCCCAGGGGTACACGTACCCCTGGTTGAAAACCCCTGTTCTACAGCATTTGGGATTCTGGTTCAATAATGCTTTAAAGTACAGACTTAACTCAAAACACGCACTTATTTTAAATGTTTTATGGAATCACAACCTTAAATTTTAGTGACAGATACTTTACAAACAAATGAGAGGTACCAGGATGGATACCCACAATTTTATACTTCCAGATGCTTTTTTTCTCTGTGTTTTTTTTTTCATTACAGCTTTCATTAAATATAAACAAAATTGTTGACAGTAAGGGGTTTTTTGTTTTTGGAAGAGCGAGAACTATAAAATATAAATTGATGTGTTCTGGTCTTATCTTTCCTTTATCCTCTTAACACTGTTTTGCCCCAAACACAACAAGCTACGCATCAGGGATGTTAAGGGTGTAAGAGTTGGTAATAAAAGGCAAGAATGCAAAGCCAACAAATAATAAATCAGCTATCAAACTGATGTCTGCTGATATGGCTGGTTAATGATCAGCCATTGGTATTGGCCAAAAAAAATCTTTATCGGTGCACCCCTGGTTTTGCCTCTTTGATTAACATTTTCCCTCCTATTCTGGAGTTCAAATTCCCTCCCCAAAGGCTAAGTTCTGGATAAGAAATCAGCTTATCTTTATGCCTTTGAAATTTCCATGTGTGGTGTTCTGCCTTCTACCTCCTCCCCATTTTTTTGAAATGAGATTTGCTTTGGATTCAATAATGTCAGCATTTCAGTAATCCCAAGTGAAGCTAATGCCCCACTCTGTTAAAAGAAAGTCAGGAGTGTATATTTCCTATCTTTGCACAGCTGCTAATGGAGAGTGGGGTGAAAGGAGCAGTAGATATTCAACCTTGATGAAAACCTTCATCGTGGAAAGAGATGAAAGATTTATTTTGTGTAATGACTATTTTGAATCTTCCCACTATTGCAGCAAATAGTAAGCATGGTGAAGGCTTCATACACAGATCCGGGATTCTCCCTGTGTGCATCTTCTCTCAGTCCCTCCTTTGTTTTCCTTGCTCGTGTTGTCAGTGCAGTTCTGATGCATTTTGATGAGCGTAAGCACCCCCACACGAACGCGTGGAGCAGCCAGCTCCGCAGCAGTCGCACTGGGCAGAGCTGTGTGCAGTTATCCTGTGCTCTGCTTGATGTCAGAAGGTGAAAGTTCAGCTTTATTAAGCTGCCTCAATAATAGAACAGACAGCTGCAGAACAGGCTCAGAAGTATTTTTTCTATTTTTTTAAGTTATTTTCTGCCAAATCTAGCCAGCGTATTAGTCATTAATGACTCCTCATGTTTCAAACTTCTGCTGCTGCCTTTGCCACTGTGACTCAAAGGCACAGCTAGAATTCATATAAATGTAATTCTCCCACCCTTCCCAAGCTCAAGTAGCTGAAGCATTCCTGATACTAATTGTGGCAGGTTTCAGCCAAAAAAAGAGAACCTCTCTGGAGAGGAAAGAAAGTGAGCTTTAATAAAACCTGGTTTAGAACTTCCACTGTAGCTCTCTCCAGCTGTGAAAGCTAAAGTAAATCATGAAATCCACCAGTTGGCTTATATTTCTCCACTTTAAATGCTTTGAATCCAACTGTTGAATAATAGCAGCAGTGCAACTGTTTCATACGAGGGTATGTTGAATCTTCAGTAATAACTCTCTTGCAGTACAAAACCTGCAAAGATGGAAGTGTGCTTGGGGTGACTGTAACACGAATTGCACTGCTGACCCACTGTCAAGCTCTTACACAGGCATGTGGATATACAGAAGGTACAGAACACGCTCCTTTACCTTCCTCCCTAAAACTGAAATCAAATTGTATATTGTCTAACTGAGGTCTTTTTTAATATTTTATGTTAGGGCCATAGTAAATATTTCTCAGAATAAAAGTAAGACTTGAGGCATACAACATGGTTTTAGAACATATTTAACAAAAAGAAAGCATGCTTTAAGTATCTTTTATTAAATATATCAAAGAGAAGGCAAATAATGGTCTAGCCAAAACACAACCTTATTCTGAAAGTTATGCTTTGAGGTCATCATATGGGCCACGCAGAAACTTGTTCTATTTCTATTTGCTAAGTGGGTTTCCCTCGAGTCTGTGCCATGCTCTCAAAAATAAACCATATTTTGTTTTTGTTGGACAGCTGAAACAATTGTGAATGTATTAGATTTCAAGAAGGATGTTGGCTTATGGCATGGAATTCTTACTGTAAGTAATTTATTTCCTTTGTGTGAACTTGTCTACTATGCTTGTTGCCATGATCAACTGGAATGTCCTCAGTTTCTTTTAACAAGTTTGTCTGGATTGAAAGCAGAGAGTTTGAGCCTGCTTTGCTACTTCTCCGTAAGCACAAACACAGGCGTGCTAAGTCACCTCAGTGTGTCATGTACAGTGCATTGTTTGGCACTGTTATTGCCGAGCACAAAATCCATTGCTGCTGTGTCCTTCTAAGACCTGAATTCTGTGTAGCGCCAAATCAAGAGCATCAGTTCTGTGTTATTTCAGTAAGACCTTCAAGTGGAATGGCTATATTCCCACTGATAAGTCCCTCATCCGACAGGACTACTGCTACTAATCCGGAGACTGTTTTGCTGCAGTGGACTCGGCAAGCTGTCTGTTCAGTTCTTGAATATCTTTCAAAGCAAAGGCATGGCAGGTCATTGGTGTGGAGGCCCACGTCTCTGTTTTTAAAGACATTCAAGCGTTCAGTTCAAGTTAAAGTTGCAGCTTATCCTGCTCCCAAATCAGTGGTGAGAATGTCTATTTATGAATAGTGCATACACAAGAATCTCAGGCTGGGAAGGGCTTACTTTTTAGGATTTCAAGGTAACCATTAGACCTTTCCCTGCTGCTGCTCTGCTGCTGTCATCATAAAGAGACAGTGATGATGAAGCTTTTGAGACAAAAACATGTTACTAGTGTTGTCCGGAAGGCATTCATTTAATAAAGCTAAATGTATCATTTACTCTGAAAGCAAATATCCACCAGGGTGGTTTTTTAAATCCTTCTTTACCTTTTTTTTGGCATGGTCTTAATGACTGATCTAAGACTACTTCTTTTTTTTTTTTTTTTTAAACCTACAGTTGCACTACACTGGGAAGAGAAATATTTTCTATGGCCTTAAACCCCCAAACACACAGACAGTGCCATTTGGGAGGCATATCTAAGCTGGGTTGACCAAACATATACCACATATATCCTGTGCTGATATAAGTAAATCTCTGTGCCTTGTAGAAATTTACTTTCAATGATAATGAATGATGTTCAAAACTTCCATTTTTAATGCTTTTATTTATTGATATTGTATGACAAATCACTATGGAAGATGAGTGCTTTGAAACATGAAATCAATTTGCTGCCTCTGGCTTATTTGAATTTCCTGTTGGTGTACTTATCACACCCAGGAGGGCACACAAAGCAACAACAAAGTCTCCCTGTGCCTGAAGAACAGTGTTTGTACCCGAAAGCTTGTAAAGAACAATTTTTTCAACTATTTAGTTGGTCTAATAAAAGATATCACATTTACCCAAAGAGCCGTGTCTGCCTATGCAGCTTGTTGCAAACTTGTTCACAATCTGCTGGGATTGCTCTATTTTATAATGAGCCTAAAAGTCCCTTATTTTTTTTTTCTGTTGCTTTTTAAAGAAAGTGAAGGAGAGAAGAAATGAAGGGAATCTCTTTGGAAATATTTTCAGCATTTCAGATATGTTGATGATTGTAAATTAGAGTCCTTAACTATGTACTTAGTGAGCTGTCTCATAGGGTGACATGATATACATTTTTCCTATACCTAATATTCTTAATTCTTTTTTTAAATATTCTTATTTAATTTCAGAGTGTCATGAACATGATGCATGTTATAAGTATTCCATATTCCTTAATGAAAGTGAATCCACTTTCCTGGATACAGAAAGTCTGCCAGTACAAAGGTAAGGACCAAGAGTACATGTTGGTATATTTTGAGTATCAGATTTGGCAACACTAGTTCTTGAAGCTGTTGACTTGATGCTGTTTACTGTAACATGGTGAATGACTCATTTCCTGATTTTAAAATTTTTTCCACACAGTAGATTAGTAATCTTTTTACTCTTATTTTAGCAAAAGTCGCTTGTGTAAAATCCAGGGACATGCACTGGGCATTAGTGGCACATCGAGATCAAAGAGATATCAACCTCTCCTCACTACGTATGCTAATAGTGGCCGATGGCGCAAATCCTTGTAAGTGATGCCTGTAAAATAAAACAGGAAATGAGTATCTTATTCTTTGTTTCATATCTGACATTTCAGACTTCAGTCACATTAGCAAAAAAATGTTTCACAAAAGTTTGAGGCTGCTGCAAACTATATGAAGTTTATGGAAACAGTAATTAATTTTGGATTTTTTAAACCTACTTTTCTTTAGCTAATCTTGAAGCAAACTTAATATTCCACATAATGTAAGTTGCAGTAAATCCAGTTTTGTTTAACATGACAGCCATATGTAAAGAAAAGTAAATAATCTTAAACTGTAGAAAAGAGCAGAAGGTTTGCTTCTTTTCAATGGCTTTGGAGTGTAGAAGCAGGGAAAATAAACCTGAGGAGTTCAGGTGGCACCCTTGCCCTCTGCTCTCCCAACTTTTTCAGTAACCCCTTCCTCTCTCCTTACTATGAGACCCTGCTTTCTTGAGCACATGGAAGTGAGGGGCAAATTTGAAAACACTGGCTTAGTACTGTGGGTACCCATAGACTTAGTTCATCGAGAATTGACTCATTTGACCTTTTTTGAAACTGCTGCAAGTTTTACCACAGATAGTCCATAAACACACTTTTAAGCAGCACTTTTGTACTCACTTATATACGGTACAAACTATGCATGTTATTAGTCCACAGCCAGAAGGCTCATGATTGACCATATAGTTCATTTGGGTTGGACCCCAGTAGAGCCAACAGCATTTCAAGCCATGGTGACCCCATAGCTCAGCAGTGCTCTGTATGTGTGTGTACTCCAAATACCCAGCACAAGGATCCATGTTCTAATTAGCCCCCACTCATGACTGGAACCACGTGTTCATCATGAGTCCTGGGATCCTCAAAAACATGTATGCGGATGTGGTACAGGGCAACCTGGTCCAGCTTTACCTTGGGAGGGCAGAGCCATGCTAATCATATATGACAGGCTGAGAGAGCGGGACAGAAGGATTCTGGTTGAGCTTTTGGGGGCTCCACTTGGTGATGTTCACCAGGCATTTAAGGCTGGTAAAAAAAAAAACTGGAATCACTGGAAATGGAAAAAAGGTACAGCTCTGCTGTGGTAGTAAAAAGGAAGTAAAAATGTATTCTGCGCAGTGGCTTACCGTAACTTAGAAAAAGAGCCGGCACTGGGGGGGACTGAGCGCAATGGGGACTACCATCTATCTTATTTAGATGGGCTACACTAATCTATCATTGTAGTGGATTCCCATCAGTATATTCACCTAATATGAACCATGCATTTTATTGTCATGCTCCCTGTTGGCTGCATTTAATCAACTTCATAGTTGGTTTCTATTACTGAGCCCATGCTGCTTTTGTCAGGAGTTTAATGATAGACGGTATATTTAATAAAGTTTCCTTGTATGTGAATGTGAGACAAGGGGCTTTCTTCCCCATGCTAATTGTGGGATGGGGTAGAACTGTACCATATTCAGGTAAATACAGTAATCTTTTCCTAGGTGCCTTAGATAATTTCTAAATGTTTTGACATGAAAAACCTACATACTTGAACAAAGGTGCTTGACGTGTCAATAGCATTGCTTCAGAAATGAGATTTTTCTTTTGGTGTTTTTTCTCTTCAGGGTCAATTTCTTCCTGTGATGCATTTCTCAACGTCTTCCAAAGTAAAGGCCTAAGACAGGAGGTCATTTGTCCATGTGCTAGTTCACCAGAAGCTCTCACCGTGGCTATTCGAAGGTACGGTGTTGAACAAATTAAAATAGTATTCAGAACTTTCAGTTTCAAAACAAAGAAATGAAAGATCATATTCATTCAAGATCAATGCTGCATAGTTAGTTTCTACAAAATGGGTACATTTTATATCTATCTTTATTTGTATAACGATAAGACATGTAGAATTTACTGCACAGTAATTCATTTTAGAGAAGAACAACAGTTACCAATTTCATAATATGATTTTAATGTAAAATTAAACAGACCAATAGTTAAAATTCAGCTCTGGTAAAATACTGTGGGACAACTCAAGTTTATTAAAATGAGCTAAATGAAATGTAACAGGAAAGGGGGGAAATCGTGGGATTCTAGGACTCAACAGGTACATCTACGCGAGATGTTTACTGCAATTTATTAGCTGACTAATTAGCTCTTCAGTAAAGAGTCAACCTGTACACATGCAGCCCTGTTAGGCCTCAAGAAACTAATTAACTCCGTTGCAGGATGATACTTCTAAATACAAGTACTATCCTGAAGCCAGGTTCTTTATTGCACAGCCATGTATGTGTAGACACTGATGGGGCTGGCTTGGTTATGAGAGTGCTTCAGTGCAGGGCACCCTCATGCCCCAGCCAGCTTCTCCTCAGCGTGTTGAGCCAGGTCAGAGCATCCCTGAGCTGGCTGGTTGACCCCCCCGACCCCTGTCTCCCAGGCTCCCTACCAGCCAGGGCTGCTCTGATCTGGCTCAACAAGCTGTGCTCCCAGGAAAGCTGCTAAACCCTTGTATTTATGATTGTGAAGAGAGTGGCAGCCAACCCTGAATTTTGTGACACATTATAATCTGGAGTGTAGAAAAATACTGTTAGTAATAAATGAACAGTTAGTATTAAATGAACAGTTATTTAACCAGAAACTAAAGCTATGAAATGTAGCTGAAAGGTGAAAAAAATAATTTCTTATACATAATTCTGGTCAAGTTGTTTGTGCAACTCTGTCTGAAGAAATATCTCCAGTTCACACCAGCCCTTAAGGTTAAACAAATGCTTAAGTTTAAGTGCAAGTCATTTTACTATAATCAGTGAATGAAAAGCCAAGTAAAACCTGATTAAAATACAAGGTTTATGTTTTTAAACAAAAGGGACGTTGGTGCTTTTGCACATATGATCTTTTAATTCAAAGATCTCAAACTGCTTTACCAATTTTTAATATAAACAAACTTGCACACTGTGAAGTAAGAGGTGTCTCTTATCCCCATTTCATAGATAGGAAAACTGAGGTACAGATATGGTAAGTAACATGCACAAGTTCAGTTAGTCTGTAATATAGGTGGAAATACAACATTTACCTTGTTGTTTTTGTGTCTTAATGACAAAACTTCTCCTCTTTCCTCTAATGACCCTCTGTTCTTAGAAATGTCTAGTGTGGTAATGCAGTTCAGGATATTGTTTGTCAGGTAAAAAGCCTTCATATCTTGGAATCGGGCTACTTGAATTCCCTCTTCTCTTGATTGCTTAGTAGAGATACACGTTGGAGAGGCTTGTGGTTGCATAGCAAGAGCTACTACTAAACTGTATTCCAGAATAATCAAATCTGGATGCACTAAGTAAAATAAGGGGAAATGTATGCAGGATTATGAATCAGCCTTTGGCCTGTTAATTGTGTGAGGAAAAATGTGTATTAATTAGGCATTTGATTTTCATCTTTAGCATTCTATGAACAATGTGTGTGCAGTTAGGAGGGGAAGGGTGAGAGAAAGTTGATCAATAATGTGGTTGAGAGACTACATTAAATGATGGGACCATTATTCATCATAGCTGCTTGTTTACTAGTCTCCATTTGTTATGCTCTAATGCATTTTCAAGCATGCCCATAGCCCTTTTTGTTGACAGTGTCACTTGAGAAATATGCCTCATAATGCCTATTAATTGAAATTTATGGTACCAATCACTACAAGTCTTACATGACCCTGATTGCCTGGGGCCCATCTAGTATTTCAAGCACGGCAGAGGAGATATGTCATATAATAAGAATATTATCTTTTAACGTAAGCTTGTGTTATGATGGATTACATAGCAAAACTGCAAAAACTTCAGATGAATATTGGCTCTTTCATTGATTTTGAAAACAGCTTGCGTCTGTCTGCATTACAAAGGAGCATTATTCTTAACCAAATCAGCATCATGTTATCCTCAGTTTTGCATTTTAGTACATAATATGGTATGAGTTTCTAGCCAGCCATAGAAACCCTAGCACTTCATTCTGAAATCAGTAACTTGTGTAAGTCAAAGTTAGCTTGTTCAAGCTGCAGACGGTATACGTAATATTAGAATCGCTAATACAAAAGTACTGAAACAAGCTGACGGAACACCCTATTGCCTGTGTTATAGAATCACATAATATTTGTGGGTGTGTTCAGATGTGCATAGACTTTTGGTTTCCCAGGGACAAGAAGCAGCAGCACACCTTGCACCGCTTCTTGTCCCTGGGAATGCCCGTGCCATGCGTGCTTTGGCGCACAGCAAGTTACCCCAGCAGCCTTACCTGGGGGCTTCCCGGGGCTGGCTGGCAGTGGAGTAGAGCCTGGCTGGCAGCGGAGTGGGCTCTGGGTTGGACGGCTCCGCTCTTCAGCAGCACATGCTGGCTGAGTGTGCATTGCTCTGGGTTTTTTTCCACGGGTTTTTTCGACACCTGGATATGTTTGCAGCACCCTGTACCACACAACCACAATCATCTGGACATGCTCTGTGGTGAATTTAGGCAAATCAAGGAATTGCCATTCACAGAGCCTTAAATTCATGTAACGTGCAGGAGTTATTGTCACATAAAAATTTAGTATGGAAAGATAGTTGTATTTTAACATAATTGTGTCGTGGTGTGTCTGCCTGTCTATATATAGCCTAAATGTAGAAACTGAGTGTAAAAAACCCTAGAGTCCTTAATATCTTTCACTCTTTTCACTCCCTCACCTTTTCCCTTGTATCTGTGAAATGGGGCTAACTCCTCTCATTGACAGGACTGAATTAAGGTTTGTAAAACTCTGAAGATTAAACAAGTTGCAGTGTGTAAATACTATGTATTACCCTAATTTCTATAGCAGTGCATTATTGGATAGGCACTGAAATTGAAAGGTGATGTATTGCGTTACCAATAGTGACTGGAGACAAAGATTAGGTCAGATGTAAAAGCAAAGATTAAGGTGGTAAAGAATAAATCCAAATTAAATCTGAAATATACTATTATTAAATGTGAACATAAATACTTGGTATTTGTTATGGTATTCCACTGTGAATAGGAAAATACTAGCATTTGCCTGTTTAAAATATCCTGTCTCTTAAAATTATAAACAATTGTTCCAGGCCAACAGATGACAGCAATCAGCCCCCTGGCAGAGGAGTATTGTCCATGCACGGTCTTACCTATGGAGTAATTCGAGTGGATTCTGAAGAAAAGCTTTCTGTTTTAACTGTGCAAGACGTTGGCTTGGTGATGCCAGGAGGTAGGAATCAGAACTGGATTCTCTGAAATGTGCTTTGTGGAACATATGAACCTTTTTCATTTATCACACTGTTCAGTGACTGCAAATACCATACTTTCCAAAGAAACAAGAAACACTTGCATAAGAATATGGGTGTTTTAATACATGACAAAACACGAAGAAACATCTTCTCTTCTGTGTTGACTCTGCTGCTTCTTCCACTCATTAGTAACAGCTGTCGTTTTAAATGATTTACTCTGTTTTGCTCATGAAGAAATACTGATTTGTTACCATTAGATAGCTGAGCCAAAAAACACAAATACTTGAACCCTAAGTTCAGAGTTTAGAACATTGTTATACATAGCTGTAACCCAGGTCATGCTGAAGTACTGTAGATTATAAAATAAGATACTGTAAAATATAAAAAAGCTCCTTGCCAAAGACTTGCAAAATGTTTCCCTAAGCTCCTGTGCCGAGGCACAACTGCATTATTATAAAAAAAGATAAATGTTTTTAGACTATGGTAGTGATAAATTCAGACTAAAGGCAGAACGTCTAAAGATGACATCTAGATTTAACTTCTAAATTGATTTTATACAACTGCTGCGCAGATTGGAAAAGGCTAATTTTTTTAGTTTTTCTTTATAGAACTGCTAAATTATATACCAAATAAACTCTCAGTTTCACATTTACAAGTGAAGCAAGTTAAGATTTTTTTTTTCTAATAACCATAATATAAAATAATTATCTAGACATATCAGATTGTACTGGATTATGTAGGCTGATCCAGTTTAAAGCGAGTTATTGTATTATGATTACCTTTACAGTAAATGAAAAAGCAGTTTCCAGGACTTTTACACTTGCACATATAAAGACATTCTGGTCTGCTTCTCTCTTCCCTCTGTCACCCTGGCTTCCTTCCAATTGCAAAGCTTATGTTCTTGACAGGTTCCTACTCCAGGGTAAGCTGCTAAAAGGCATACCTGATCTTAATCTGATGCTTATGACTGGAAAGAGCAGAAATTCAACAGGATCTTTATTGCAGTGATATGATGCATCAGCCTGTCACAACATCAACTGACTTGCTGGGTGACCTTCCTGTTGCCAGTTTTCCTGCTTCCTTTGGTGTCCTTCTGCTCCAACATAATTTAACTCAGAAGAGAACATAGCCGTCCAGATTCTCCCCCTCCCTGCCAGTTGCTCGCTGGACTCTGCTGCTCCAGAACACTGCCCCTTCGCAACCCTCACACTGTGTTGCAGGGAACCGTAGGCTGGCCATGGACAGTCTGGGTCAGCCCATCAGGGCTGCCCTATGCACTGCTGCCATCTCTCGCCAGGCAGACTTGGGAAGCCTATAAAGTATGCTGAAATGTGTGCACAGGGCAACCTCCCTGCCCGCCTGCCCCCCTGCCCCCCCAGCTGCACAGTTGTCAGCACTGAAGTTCTCCACTCTTCAGGGCATCAGCATTTGAATGTCTGTGTATGTGACTTTGGGTTTCTCTACCTGGAGAGCAAATCTGGGAGAATTCTCCCAGGCTATTTGAGTGTGTGTACACATTAACTGGCATACTAGACCATTAAGCAGAAAAAACTTACTTTTTGCATGGGTTTTGATGAAAGCTAAACTTCATGGCTTTATGTTTGTTGTACAATGTAATTATCATCAAGCACCCCGACTAAAATAGTTCATTTTACAGTGACCACAGTAAATAGATTTTTCAGTATGATACAGGGTGCAGTCACGTTTTACAAAGGTATCACAAAAGCAAGGGAATCAGGCCAAATTCAGTTTTGTTTTTCAGACTAGATTTATATAAAGTTCCTGACACTTTTGTACTATAAATATTAATTTATCTTTGATGTAAAATGTCTTTGTTTCACAAACATTGTTTGTTTGGCAGTCACATCTACATGCACTTTATGCATTGAAGTTTCTAGATCATAGATTCTTCCCCTCACTTTACTTTGTCCTGTAGTTGTTTTTTTATAAAATATTTGAAAGTATTTTGCTTTTTCTTCAGCCATAATGTGTTCAGTGAAGCCAGATGGAATTCCTCAGCTCTGTAAAACAGATGAAATAGGGGAACTTTGTGTATGTGCAATTGCAACAGGTACATCATATTATGGACTCTCGGGCATGACCAAAAACACTTTTGAGGTGAGTCTAAGGAAAGGTACAATATAGAATCCTTTCTTTTTAGCACTCTTTATCTTCAGAAGATATTTTTGGAGATCCACGTTCACACTAATAATGTTTTTTTTTTCTATTAGTGATGCCAGTTTTGGAAGGCTTAGGGAGATACAGTGATGCAATCTATAGTGGAGCTCAGTTTCACGTAGTACCTTATAAATCTTTAGAAAGTCACAGTCCCAGAACTAAAGAGGTTGCAATCTGATGTTGAAGCAACAAGCAGAGGTAACAATTGATGCAAGGCAAGTGGGAGGGAGAGGCAAAGTTCAATAGGCAAATTCTGTGTTCGGCTTGATGGTTAATGTGTACACTTTGAAAGCTGTTTCATATGTGTAGCTTAAAGCCACTGCCAACAATCTCACAACTAGTCAACGTTAGAAGATTGCTTTTCTGCAAATATCCTTGCAGATGTACATCTTAAAGAGATTTAATGGTAGAAAGCATCCTGGCTTACCACTATTGCCTTGTTCCTAATTGCTCTTTTGCTGTTTATGTTTAAAATGCCTAGAGCAGGCCTGTCCAGTTTCTAAGTGACTGGGACCCAAACACCTTGCAGGCAACACTAGTGGGGGCCACACTCCCCCAGGCTGCAAAAGGGCAAGCCATGCCTCCCCCCAGCCATGCAGATGCTCCCCACACTACTGCACCATGCAGATGCCCCATCCTCCCCTACTGCACCTGTGTCCCATCCCCTGCCCCACTCCACTGCACCATACACCTGTGTTTCTTCCTTCTCCCTGCTGCTGCACCTCCAGCCTGTGTGGCCCTGGGCTCACCTTCAGTTCCCTGGGCCCTACTGCCCCGTCCCTGGTCACAATTAAACCCCTCACAGGCCGAATGTGGACCATGGGCTGTCAGTTAGACAGTGCTGGCCTAAAGTATCATTTTTTGAATTTGTAGACTCCACTTTGTTGTTTTGTGTACTGCATTTTTATAATGAGGATTGGTCCATTGATTGCTCCATAGGGACTGTCTGTTTTTCAGATTAAACTTAAATTGAGGCCAGTATGAAAAGGTTACCAGACAGAGAAGTACAGAGAAAAACTGAACTGAAATGTTTTAAATGAGAAACTTATGGTGAATTGTTCTTCTCGGTCAGTGTTGGAGGGAAAGATTAGGAACAAATACATTTGCCCTTCCTTTAACAAGTACTCTTTCTAATCTAAAGAGTGTTAACATGTTCTTCGTAATGGTAGTCGTAATATTCTCCTATTAACGTGTAGTTCTGAGCATCAGACATAATATACATTGAATAATTTACGGAGATGGGGAAAATAGTTCTCAATCATGCTCTACAGTAATGATTTGGAATGTGTTGGATGACTTTTTGAAGTGCCGAAAGAGCAATGAGTGCTAGCTGATATAGATGGTAATCCAACATTTGAGTTTTCTAAAGCAGGATTATGCTTGGACTCATTTTGGAGGCAGAACTTACGGTATCAATATAATTGAATCATAAATGGTTATGTCCAGATGAGAGTAAGTGAGGTTCCAATTCAACAAGGCATTTAAGCATAATATTAGGTACACAAACAGTCTGCTGATTCAGTGGGGCTATTCATTCTGAAAGTTAAGCACATTCTCAAAAACCTTGCTGAATGATGGCTCTTAAAAAAAAATGTGTCCTTTCACACGACACCTAGCTAAGAGCCTGTTCTCTACTTTTAGGGCTGCATCACAGTGCCTGATGCAAAAGTAGTGACTCTTCAATGAGAGTCACCTGTGTGCATCAGAGAACAGTACATGACCTTTCTTCTGTTATATGAGTCTTGAAGGACAAGATACAGAAGTGGTCCGTCAGCTTGGAATTACTGTAGATTGTTTGCATTTGCTCCACTTCGGACTTATGGAAAAGCATGGGTATGTCTAGACTGCGCAACGCAGTGCTGCATAGGGATACCCGAATGAGCTCTACATGAGATAGTGGGATACTGGAAGGAGTATTGCTGTGTTAATTATAGAAGCAGGGTAAATTTGCCCAGACAAAACACTTACGTGATTGTACCATGTCCTACAGGTGAGCTAGCTTGGGTAGCTCTGTGCAGCTCTCTATTGTACAGCATAAACATAGAGGATAAGGCAATAATGTATGAAGCATTTAACTTGTATAAAATGTATTGGTTTTAAAAACCATCACTGCACAGTGTATTAAAAAGACTCTACTACTTTTGGTGGTTTTAAAAAATGTATTATTGTAATAGGGAAGGACATCCCCAAAAACAATTAGTCTCTTAATTGCTCTTTATTAGTAACCTAAATTTACTTCTATTCCACAAAAAAATGTTGTTATTAATTTGGTTTTTGCATTGTATGTTATTTATGGAGCTGAAGCCACAGAACGTGTGCTAAACCAAGGCCTGGCACTGCTATTACCTTCCTACATCACACTTTTCCCTCCACATGAGTCCTTGTCGCAAGTTTTTATGGTGATAAATAGAGAGCATCATGGTGCTCATCTTGACAAACAAGTTTTTCCTGAGTGAGATGATCACTCCAAGTCCTGTTGAAACCAAAGGTGCTCTCTGAGCACTTAGGATTGTGTTCTCTAAGGACTGTATTTCTGTGTTTTACAGGTATTTCCTATGACCAGTTCAGGAGCTCCTATAAGTGAATACCCTTTTATAAGGACTGGATTACTAGGATTCATAGGACCAGGTGGGCTTGTCTTTGTTATCGGCAAAATGGATGGCCTAATGGTTGTCAGTGGAAGAAGACACAATGCTGATGACATTGTAGCAACTGCACTCGCAGTGGAACCAATGAAATTTGTCTACAGGGGAAGGTTTGCTTCATTTTTCTTTTCTTTTAAATAGAAATCTCTGTTTTGCTTAGAGCAGGTCTAATTGTCCTAGTCTTTAAAATGCTTGAGACGGCCAGTAACCCACAAGATTCTGTGTACGGTTTACATGGTACAAATGGCTAGAATAAAGAGAAACTATTGCAGACTCTTCCTGAATAAATAAGGCCACATCCAAAACAGGATTTCAGCAGGCTTTAAGCAATTAGATCCAAAACTGCTTTTCAAAAGCCTTTGCTTTGCAACTGCCAAATCTGGGAGGCACCTAAGAATTTAACTTTAAAGTCCCCTAGGTTTGTGCAGTTCTGCTTCTGTATATTTACACAACTGCCCTGGCTAAGGACCGGGAGCCTGTGGTTAGGCTACTCTCCATGGAGTTAGGGGGAGATGGTTTTGAAATCCGTGAAGCTAAAGAGGACATAAAATCCAGGTCTCCCCCTTCTTGGATGGGCACTCTAACCATTTAATGACTCTAGGTCATTAAATAAATGGTGGCAAGTGAAACTACCTCCTCCTTTATTGGCTGCACTTCAGAGAAATGGGTGAGCCCTTTTAAAGAGTGGATTCAGGAACTTGCCATCAGGAGAGACTCCTACACTATGCTCTTTGTGTGGATAGAAATGCCTCCCTGCTTCAGGCACCTTAGCTCCAGAGTTGGGAAGTTCAGATTAAACCATTTTCTCCTGGCTTCTAAACAACTGAATTCACTGTACACACCTTTTGGCTTGCCCCTTTTGAGGTATCTGTCTCTGTCCATATCTGTAAAGAGAGCCTAGGCACCTAATTTTGGTTTTTGCTTTCTGTGCTGGGGACCAGGCACCTTTTAAAATATACAGCTGCTTGCGATGTTAACCCCACCTCCCCCCAAAAAACAAAAAACAAAACCCACCACACACTCCCACACTGAGTCCAGCACATACCCAGAAAAGGCAGCACATTAGTTGGACCCAGCTTGCCTGATATCTTTACAAATTGGGCACTTTATTAGGGCTTTTTTGGCACTTTTATGTAATACCGGATTGAATCAGCTATTAGATAAAAGCACCAAAAAGCCCTGCTGAAGCGCCCAGTCTATACATACACTGCAGACCAGGGTCGAAGTAATACACTGCTGCTTCTGGTAAAGCATGGTTTTATTTTGGGGTTTTTTTTAATGTCTGCAAGCAGCCATCATGTAAATACTGCACACCTTAGAAGACGATGGGTTATACATACCTGTGTGGGTAAGATCCCATAGAGTCTTCTAAGGTGTTCAGTGTTTAAATTTTGGGCCACTGCAAAATTGCACATTGTGAATGTCTTGCACATTGCAAAAGATATTCAAGCCCAACTTACTTACTTCATATGTCACCCTCTAAAAAGGATTGTTTTAATTTGTGCATGTGTAAGAAGTTATGGAATCTTCTCCAGTGATCAGAGCTAATGTTTAGAAAGCATTAGCTTGCAGCACTTTGTTCCAAACTTCAAACAATTACTACATTACTAGGGCCCTAAATAATCATAGCCTTCATTTATCTTTGAAAAGATGAAGGCTAATGAAGCAAAGACCAGTTGGAACACTCCTTGAAAAATAAAAGGAAAAGAAAATAATTTACTGCTATTTCATGTCTTTGCAGTAGCTTTTCTCCAAAATCAGTTGATTTAACAGCTATTGCAGGGTTTCATGTAACAGGGGCTTTTTGTGTTTTGCTAGAACAAATTGTACATAAAGCTCCATTCTCTGAATAAGAAGAAGCAAATAACAGGGACAAAAAGTTAAGAATAATCTTTTCTGCAGCTTCTGATACCCTTACCCAGTACCCTTTTTTCCTGTTCTACAGAATAGCAGTGTTTTCAGTGAGTGTACTCCATGATGAGAGGATAGTTATTGTTGCTGAACAAAGGCCAGATTCTACAGAGGAAGATAGTTTTCAGTGGATGAGTAGAGTTCTCCAGGTAATGCTCCCAGTTTTTCGTATTTGATATTTCTTTTGTTGCTCTGCCAGTCATTATGGAGAAAGTAACTTGACATTTGTGCTCTGAGTACGTGAGTATGCAGCTGTATGGGTGTGTCTGATGAATGCAAGGTCATATTCCTTTGAATAGTGGTGGTCACGTGAGCTGCACGTGTTGTGTGCCTCTTTGTGCCGCTGTGTGAGAGCAATTAGAAGAAGGATGGAGGAGCTGAAACCCACCTCTTATTCCCCTGGGCAACCAAATGGAATACAGCAAATGCCCAACCAGCTAATTTTCTTAAACCTCAAAACGGTTTCTTTTGATCAAATCTGTGAAGTAATATTATTCCTCAAACTTTCTTTATATGGACATCCCAAAAGAGGAAGAAAAGCACTGGGGGATCTTCCTGTACCACCGGGCACAGAATTTCCTACTTCAGGACACACTCAAGCCTTCAGGGCTAAAACTATGCTCATCCTCTGACAAGATTTGGTCATATTTGATGTCTTTCCCACTTAGGGGACCATCCTGATAGATACTATTTGTATGCACTCTTTTCATTCAGAACCCATGGTCTCAGCAGGCACTGGAAACTTTATCTTGCAAAACCTCAAAAGCCTCAGCACCGATGGCACAGTTGCCTGACATTAGTCCCAGTGCTAATGTCTCAGTCAAGAAAATTGTTACCCATCTGTACACAAAGAGAAGGTTCACAGGTAGAGCCCAAATACAGCTCTGCATGCAGAGGGCATTATTTTACCACTTACGTTGCCAATGAGAGAACAGCAAAAAAAAATTAGGGATCTTCCATTTCTTTGGCTAACTCAACTTCCTCTCAGAAGGCTTCATTGTCTAGTATATTCCACTGCAGTGAAGTTCACGTCTCCTTTGATATCTTTCCATTAATTCCCCTGATCCCTAGAGTGATTTCTGAATTCAGGAGACAGTCATAATCATTATTAGAGCTGCATTCTGGACTGACTGATCAGTTGTAAGTGTTCATCCAGCTCAGACAGTTCAGACAGCAGTACTCTTAGATACTTCATCCAGACTTTCAGTTCCCCCACCTGATGATAGTCTGGATATTGTCTGATTATGTGCCATGGACAGGGCTGCCTAGACAATTCCAAGAGCTCCTGATAACAGAGCAGGAAGAGGTCTACCAAAAACAATACTGTCAGAAGAGAGAGCCAAGATCTGCAAAATGGTCATTTGAAGCAACCTGCTGCTGATTTGTTTGGCCAGGCATTTGCAATTAGACTTCTCTACATAACAGCAGATGCTGAGCACCATAACCATTAGACTAATACTCCTCAGCACACACCCAAAATGCGTATTTCTTGCTACATACTTTTACTGGGATCCAGGCTGCCATCTACTCAAAAAAGAAAGAATGATTAGCTACCTACCTGACAGCAACCACGACTCATCAAAGTGATGATGTAAGTGGGGATCCAGTGACACCCTCCATCACTGAGTCCTCAGCTAGGATAGAACTAGTGTATGAGCTGAGAGGTAACTAATGGAGAGCCACAGCATCTGTATCCTTTACACCCTCCAGCAGGGACTCAGGGAGGCAAAAGGTGGACACATAGCCCCAGCAGTTGCCGCTGTTCAAAACACTCCAGTCTCACTCATATATAGCACATGTGTACCTACACTGGGATCCACAAGGACTACAAACTTCTCAACTCATGTTTATGGTGGAGCAGCTACTCCAGGGGTGGGCAAAATGCAGCCCGCGGGCTGGATGCGGCCTGCCAGGCCATTCTATGTGGCCCACGGGGCCCCTAAAAAAATTAGAAAATTAATATTAATCTGCCCTGGGCTGCCTGTCATGCGGCCCTCAATGGCTTGCCAAAACCCAGTAAGTGGCCCTCTGCCCAAAATAATTGCCCACCCCTGAGCTACTCTTTCTGTTCAGTACATTCTAAGATCAAAAATAGGAAAAGGGAAAGCTGTATATCATCTAGTCATCATTAAATATATACTGGAAGAGACATATTGTTCTAGAATACAAGATTTTATCTTTAGTGGGACCTGCAGAGGTATGTACGGGTATGCATAAACATTTTCATCTTTGCTAAAAATAAAGTTTTGGTTATTAAATAAATGAGATTTTTACAAAACTTGACTTCCCATCAGCCATACTGTTTGCAGTTTGCTCTTCTCTGTTTGGACAGTGGAAGCCAGTTTAATTTTTCAGATCCCTTGCCTTAGCACATTCCTGTAATGTTTAGGTTAAAAATATTATAAGGAAAATTTTTGATCTGTAGATTTGGATTTAAAGAATCTACAGATATATATGTTCAGATTTGGTTTAATAACTCCTTTTATTAATGTAAATACTGAACGTAACAGCTCAAACAATATTTCTCTCTGAGAAAATTTTACTTGCAATCTTTTCAAGCAGTGACAAAAGTCATCTGAAGCAAAGCATTAAAGAGTCAATTTCTTATTTTTCCTTGAGCAGTTGGAATAAGTCAGTTTCCTAGCTCCCTTGTGTGATTCATTAGTTTCTTTCTGAGTATCTGTCACTTAGTGATTAGGGAGAAAAACATTTTCCATAAATTAAAAAAATGGTATTGGTCAGAGGGCTGAGATGTGGGTGCAGCATCTGAAATTGTTGTAGCTCTTTTTTAAATGGTCTGAGTTTTAAGCTGATAGTGTCCCTTTCAAAAGTAATGCTGAAAAAAGTAAACAGATTAAAATCGCCTATGATTGTCTGTCTGCAAACTACATCTAATAGAAAACTATTAGGAGAGCACATGTAGGAAGGGTGCTAGGCACATCAGCTGAAATCTAAGGGTGCCTATACATGTGCTCCAACACAATCTAATTAGAATGCATGGGAGCAGATGCATTGAGTCTGTTAGAGCATTCTAATTAGAGCACTCAAGTAAAACGTTCTAATTAGAACACTCCACCGTGCCTAATCATCATGTGTATTCAGCGTCCTGCACTTCAAAATGGTGGTGGGGGTGTTTTAACTAAAACTTGTTGAACAAGCTTTAAAGTGCACCCACGGCCATTTTGAAACGCAGGACACTGAATAAAGGTGACACTGTGGCATTTTAAATAGAGCAGCTGTCCAGGAGCTGCTCTAATTAAAACGCACCCCTCCTCCCCATCCCAGAGCACAAGTATAGACACTGTAAGTGGACATCACCAGGATCTTCACTTAATGGTCATCTCAGTATTTGTAGCCATCTAGAGTTTTCATCCTTTTTTTTCGATGCATCAATTATTTTTGGATTTCCTTTCTCTCAAACCTAATAAGAAGAAAAATATTTTCTTTCATATTGCTGAAGATTATGATTATAGTAACAAGTAGTTATTTTTGGCTTTTTGCAGCAGTTTAGAGAAACAAGTATTGTAATAATGATAACAAATTCACCATACTTCATTAACTCCAACTTGAATTTTTCCAGGCTATTGACAGTATTCATCAAGTGGGGGTTTATTGTTTAGCCCTAGTACCAGCAAACACACTCCCAAAGACCCCACTAGGAGGGATACACTTATCAGAAACCAAACAGCTCTTTTTGGAAGGCTCCTTGCATCCCTGCAATGTGTTGATGTGTCCCCACACCTGTGTAACAAACCTGCCAAAACCAAGACAAAAACAGCCAGGTAAGATGGGTAACTGCATTTTAAATATTTATTGGTATTTTGTGGTGTTACAGGATGCTGCAATGCCTCCAGGAGTTGTGGGTGCTCTTTTCCTTCAAAAACAAATGCAGAACTCTAGAACTCTTGGTTCAGAGATGATACCTAGAGTTCGAGAGTTTTGCATTTCTTTTTCTCAGACCAGCACAGCTACCAATACATCCCTTTTCCTTCAAATACTTTTATACCATCTCTAATGGTATATTTGTTTTCCTAAAAGTACTTGGTTTGACTTGGGAACCCATAAAATATAGTTTTGTAGTAGAAGACAGTGGAGGGAAAAAGAAAACCTTGGGTTGAAAAAAAATACTCAGGACTCCAATAGAGAGAGGAAGATATTAATGCCACTGTAAAAAGTAAAACTGTATCTGGTATTCTTTATATGGTTATGGTCACCCCATGACCAAATAAGTTGAATGCAAACTGCAACGCATACAGGGAAAGGCCATTACAATCATTAGGGAAATGGAGATCCTGTCATAGAAGAGCAGACAAGAAAAGCTTAGTTTGTTTTATTCTAGCCTAACAAAATAAAGGCTGAGAGAGGATATAACTGATCCTTACAAATGCATGAAAAGGATAAACACAAAAGTGTAAAAAGTACTATTTAAGCTAAGGGACAGTGCTGGCACAAGAACAAATGGGTATAAACTGCCCATGAATAAATTTAGGATGGAATTTAGAAGCAGCTCCATCCCAGGAGAAAGGTTCTGTAACAGTTTTTTTGACAGGTCTTTTTCCTGCCCTTTCCTAATTAGTTTTAAGATGGGATCTTGATAAGTTTGTGAAGGGAATTATATCTGTGAAGGTAAATACCATTGTTTCCTGTAGTAAGAAGGGACTGGAATTGCTGACTGTGGAGATCTTTTCCAGTCCTATGTTCAGTGACTCGAAGCCAATAATCAGTCACTTTGCCCACAAGGATGGATCCATGCTGTAAATTTGAACTTGAATGTAAATTTGGAACTTGCATGATTTGAGGGGTGCCTGGGTCCGTGGCTCCAACTTGGGCCCCATCGGCGCATACTGGTGATAGAATGCTAATGATTTTGCACATGAAAATACTATGGAATCTGGAAAATCCTCTTCTACAGTGTCTAAAATCTGGGGTTGTCCATTACTGAACCAATATTTATTTGCAAAAAGAGTTTTTTCTTGTTTCTCTACTCTGGGACAAATGTTTGAGAACCCAAACAATTTAAAAAATGAAATAACAGACACTGATAGTAGCTTGTCAAGCAACTAAATAATGAGATGTTACCTGAAGTTTCAGTTTGATAGATCCTTGTTGCCACATCCCAGATGAAATACCAACTGTTCCTGAACTAGAGGTTTTGTTTGGATGTGATATGTGCAGATGCTGCAAATGGTAATAAGGTGACTAGTCATGGAGGAAGACCAGCAATAGAACAGCTGCTGAAGGCTCCAAATCATCCTCTCATTTATACTTATGGATCTCTCTGGTCAAATTTGTTTTTAAAGCAGAATAACTAAGATCCTCCTCTAGTTTTGAACATATCTGTATTCCATTATATCCCTTTGTTGCCCGTCATATGTACGAGGTTTGCACACCCTTGATAGACTAAGCTCAGTTCAGATGATACTTTATCCACAGTCAACTCTTACAGGTCCAAAGCAAAAATAACAATGTGGTCATGTCTCGGATGAGAGCATTCAGTGCAAGTTTAGGTAGTCTCCAGCTTACAATACCCAGCATAAACCCAGTGAAGGACAGCTTATGAGAGAAATAATAGTCATGATGTCTTCCTGTCTCATACATTTCTGCTGACTTTTTTCAGTGTATTTGGTATATTAGAATTTCCTAATATTTTTATTGTTTAATAGCCCTAACAGTTAACATTTCCATATGAGAAAGGTTAAAATGTTGATGCTTTTATGTTTATCTAAAGGAAATTACTAATGAAAACTGAGATACAGAAACATACAGTGACTACTTATCAATGGCTAGGGACAAATATTCAAAAAGCCCAAGCCTGAATTGATTCACTCTTTACAGGCTAGTCTAAGCTGCACAGTGGATCAAGCCAGAAGCTGGCGGGGGGTGCGCTAGAGCATGCCTGCCAGCCAGTGCCAAAGGGGAGGGAAGAGAGATGCCCTCCAAGGCTCTCACCCCTCTCTGCTGGAGCACAGGAGACATGGCCAGGCACCAGCCAGGGCTAGCACAACACACGGATGTCAGCCACCAGCCTGGGGAGGAGGGCAACTGCTGCCAGACTGAGAAGTGGGGATGGGGGAAAAGTCCTTTCTCTGAAGCAATCGTGTATTGAGCACAGCAATTTGCAAAGCATGCAACAGGGAACTACCAAAAATCTTTGCTTAAGTTAAGATAAAGCCCAGTAAAACACAGTATACACAACTTAGTCTAACTTAAAATATAAACCTAGAAGACAAGAATTAGTTTTACTAATTCTGAGGGCAAAGTGTCTCCTTACAGCCAGGCATTCAGAAAGGCTTTGTTTTTTTATTTGCACCTTTTACATGTTCTGCTTGATAATGTAAATGTTTCTGTCTGCATTCTCTGGTGAAGCTGTCTGCAACTTCCCTTAACAACATCTCCAGCATGTGTGATGATTGTCAGGTCTTTGCCAACACTTCCCTCCTCTCAGTCTGGTCCTGCAGTTCTTAGCTCTGGACTCACAGGTGCAGGGCTTGGATCTGCACAAAGGGGACTAGCTTGCCTCTCTCCCCCCACGCTGGGACATGCTGTTGAATTAATTCCCTCCCTACCTGGCTGCAAGCAAGCTGCAGAGACTATAGCCAACCCCCCTGGGATTCTGGGGGAGAGAGGGGACAGAGGGAGGAATTAACTCTGTCCCTGCCTGGCTGCAGGCAAACCATGGAGGTGCGGGTGGGGCTGGCAAATGACAGCTACGGTCCCCAGGATTTGCTGGAAGGTGGAGAGGGAGGAATTTGCCTCAGGGGCCACAGCAGGCCAGCATCTGGCCACACCCTGCCCCTGCTCCAGCAAGAGAGCAGAAGAGAGGGGTCATCCCAGCTCACTGAAGCAGAGAACAGAGCTCTGCCAAGCCCAGAGAACATGGCAGGATGCTGGGAGAGTCTGGTTTATCTTAAACCAGCAAGGGGTCTAGGACAGACATTGCATAAACCTGTTTGACCCAAATCAGTTACGTCTGATACTAAATTCAACCAGATTTATCTCAAACCAGTTTCAGTCATTTTCAAACTAGTTTATCTACACTGAATGTCTGTTCTGTTACAGGTTTAAACCAGTTTCTGATCACTTAAATCGGTTTGTGTGTAATGTCTGTCCCTAGCCAATAGGTCCTCCCTGATTCATCAACTCTCTAGTAACACATCTGCTGGAAAATGTAAGAGATTCCATGGTTTTTACGCTTGGTAGGATGTCCCTAATATTATGCGCTAAAGTCAGCAATGGGCAAAATCCCACAAGGCCAGAGAAGGGATAATAAGACTTGTCCTCTGTAAACCTAGTGCTTTTATTATACTCAGTTTGTTTCTAATACATTCTAGAAATTGGTCCTGCCTCTGTGATGGTGGGGAACCTAGTCTCTGGAAAAAGAATTGCTCAGGCTAGTGGCAGAGATCTGGGTCAAATAGAAGACAACGATCAGGCGAGAAAGGTAAGATGTTTTTCAGATACGTCTTGTACATTGCTTAACTGCAGCTTTGTTAATCAGATATTCTCTACTGTTTGATAAGTTTAAATAAGATTTCTTGAGTCCTGGTAGACACAGTTCTGTAACAGGCAGTGGCCAGCAATTCTCTTCATTTTTAAAGTCTTTGTTAATTTTGACTAAGAACAGTGTTTCCAGTATAACTCATCCCCTACTTGATTTTTAATAGCTCAGCAAAATCCAGGGCCTTCCATTGGCAGGGATAATTTTAATCTTGTTTTTTTGTTTGTTTAAGTTGTCTTATGTGTATTGCAGTTGAGCTTCTGGTGATCTTAGCGGTATAATTAATTATGGGAAGTCAAAGGTATGTTTTACAAAATATAATGATTTCTTAGTTACAAATTAGAATAGGGCAGTAGGGGAGAGAGACTGCAACTATCGTTAGATTCAGAGAACAGACTTTTTGTTTTGAAGGTGCATGTAGTGAAACGTGATTCCAGAAATGACACAGCCTCCAAAAGGACCTTAAATATATTGGTAAAGAAGAGGATTTCTTAGGGTAATGTCTTGTATTGGATCAACTATTTAGTTGGGGTAGAGTTAGACAAAAATGCAAGACATACTTTGTCAGGTCTGATCAGATAACCAAGTACGTCTCACATTTGCAAACTTGTCTAACTCTATCCTAGCTACAATATTGGTCTAATAAAAGATATCACCCTAAGAAATCCTTGCGTCTTGCATAATTTCTGGACCATCATAACTATAATATCACTCTTCCACCACAAAAACTATGGTAGCATTCAGCAGTTTACTGCTTGCACTGGTGTTGATGTGTAGACATATAAAACAGAAGCAAGAACCGGCTATATAAACTAGGGCAAAGGAACTGCTTCTTGCTTTTAAAGAAAACAAATCCACAATGTATCTTGATTATCACTCTGCTTTATTGTAGTTCCTCTTCCTCTCAGAAGTTTTACAATGGAGAGCTCAAACCACGCCTGACCATGTGCTTTACACGCTGCTTAACTGTAGGGTAAGAAATTCAGGCAGTTACTTTGACTGGTTACCTTTTAGGGAAATGCACATTGAGAGCTAACTGCACTTGTTTGCACCAAGATTTGGCTCAATCTTTGCGTTAACAGTCAGCTGTTGTATTTACTGTTCACTGGTGGAAGGAGGGATAGAAAATAAAAGCAATTTATCAAGTGTGTCACTTTTACCATGTTAGGTACCCAGCTTTATATATTCTTACTTCATGAGCTCACAAGTTGCTGGAGATCTTAGCTGTGCAGAACTATTTAGATCTGGGAAGAGATGAAGTAGTGTTTGATGCTGCTTAGCAGCCTCTCTGCTCTGTTTAAAGAAGTGCACTGAAAGACTCAAAACCTGCCTTGGCTAAAATAAGAAATGGTGTATGTGAGATTGAGCCTTCCATAAAATAGCAGGGGATGTAAGAAGCCGTGGATCAGAATTGCAACAAGGACTTCATAGGACCCTAGTAAGTTAATCTGCCTTGCTTATATGAGATCACAGGATGGCTTAATTCCAAAACATTTCATTAGTCTCCAAAAATGGATTATGATTTATGCAAGAGAACAATGCTGCTGGTTCATGACATAGACCTTTTGATTTTTTTCTGGGTTTGGAAGATACTAGACTTCCTAATATGGTGATTATAAATGCTAGCCCTTCACAGTTAGAAGTTGCCCCATGTTATCACGCTACTATGGTAGCATGGTCACCCTTAAATTCACCTGTTTACTGTGGATAAAAGTGTTAAATAAGCATTTTCAACTTTACAGTAAATGTTAAAGCATTTTAATTTACTTAACCAGGGTAAATGCAATCTTAAGAGATACTGTGCTACTCATGTGCAGCCCCAAAATAAAGTTAGAAGCAAGTAAAAGTCAGAGGCAAGTACATCTATCATGAGAGGCATTGGTTCTGAAGAACAAATCCCCCCATGCCCCCCAGTAGCTAAATCAGATTGTTTATTTAAATGATAATATGATATTCCACCTTAGCAAAAAGGTGGAGATAGCAGCCAGCTGGTAGGAAATACATGAGGAAAATGATTGTACAGTATAATGATTAATAAAATAAGTCACCATTTATTATATGTGGAACAAGTGAATTAGACATGGATTACTCTGTTAAATTTTTAAATCTACTGAACTTGTAAAATCTACTTGCCTCCTGATATTTGTTATTTTATGTGCAAGTGAGTGATGTTTGGCAGGTTTTATTTCGGCAAGTTTTCTTATGCTTCTTTATTGTTTTTCAGAGCTAATCTTGTAACCCTTCCTGCTTGTCTTGCTTTAATTGAAACTTCTATACATCACATGTAGACTTGATTCTAAAACACTGTAGTATTCATTGTTTGCATGATGTTTGAAGTCCACTGAAACCAGGATTTTTATGACACCGTAAACCATGTTTAAGGTGTATACAAAGTTTGAAAGGCTTACAAATTAGAGAAGTACCTCACTATTGGTTCCTTTCCTCTGACCTTGATGGTTTCCTTAAGCTGTGGAAAAGGGCTGGCTGCAACACCTCATTTGAAGGGCACTGATAGAGTAGTTCCAGCACTGCCATGGTGGTTCATTGATAGAACAGTCCCAACTACTCTTCTCCAGCACCAGAATTTGCTTTCCCTTTTTCATTTATAAACAGTATCCTTCTGCTGACCTGTGCAGCATGTGCTTTTGAGTTGACTGCCCACACTTTTATGAGAGCAGCTGCAGTTCCTCTTTTGAAAACTTGGTGCAAATGATTCTGTTGTGCATGAGAGAAATAGCATTGTCTGTTCTGCATGATTGAAACCAGGTGTAACCCCTTTCAGAGGGGGAGATAAATTGGCAAGTGGGTTCCTAAACTGTCCAGCTCAGTGGGAGGATTGTCAATAGTAGTGAAAAGGGGGGACATCAAATCCCATCTCTGCCTAAGTTGCCAACATATTCACAACTTAGCCTAGTGAAACTTTCTGTAGCAAATTTACTACAGTACTAAAGTTACTGTACTAAAGTTACTTTCCGTAATGATCTCGGACTGCTCAGTTAATGCTGTTAGTTAATAGTGTAATTAAGGTTGCCTCCACTACTTTTTAAAGGGGAGCGTGTAAAGAGTGCTAAACCCTTAGTTTGCTTTCTGCCTTCAGTTATATTACCCTCTGTGCTTTAGGATGACTGAGCCATTCAGTTCATAAATGCAAATGATTCCTGATAATGCACTGTGCTGCAGCTCCCACTGCCAGACCTGTATCAGACAGTAGGCCTGTGTGAAGCGGCTAGTGTTCGCTTCAGATTTGGATTTGGCCGATTCGGGGCACAGTGATTCTATTCAGTGATTCGAATCGCTGTCCTGAATTGATTTGGATTAATCTGATTTGGAGATTCAGCTGCCGCAGAATTGGCCGAATCTCTGAATGATATAGGCCCATCCCCAACCCGCTGTCTCAGCCCCATCAATGGCTACCCTGCCCAGCACCAACGTCCCAGCTCTTTAAAAAAATAAAAAGTAAAAATCAAAGCCCTGCACTCACCAGCTCCTGCCAGGCAGGGGGGCGATCCCTACTGCCCTGCGCTGATGTGGGCTCTACCAGGAGCCCCCAGAGGCCCCAATGGCTGCTGCAGCAGCCGGTGAGTGCAGGGCTTTTTTCTTTTTTAAACCACTGAGACACTGGGGCTGGGCAGGGCAGGGCAGCCATTGACAGGGTGGGGGCTCATGGCAGGGCCCCCCCATGCAGCATGGGGCAGTGGGGGGCAGCAGTGATCAACCCTGTGCTTGGCAGGAGCCAGTGCGTACGGGGCTTTTTTTGTTTGTTTTGGGGTTTTTTTATTGGGGGGGGAGGGTTAAGTGCCGGGAGCTGCGGCAAGCAGGGCAGCCATTGACAGGGCTGGGAGAGCGGGCAGGGATTGGGGGGTGCTCATGGGGGCTGGGGGAGCAGCCAGGGGATGAGGCCTGGTGGGGGTCCCCCTATCGTCCCCTCCCCCAGCCCCCTAATTACTGGCACAGGGTCCAGGTCCAGCTTCTTGCAGCGGCAGGCAGGGACTGCCTGAATCTCCAAATCTCCTGCAGATCTTTTTCTGAATCAATCTGGAGGCTTTGGATTGATTCAGACCTTTTTCCTGGTCTCATGATTCAGTTCAGATTCAGAGATTCAGCTGCCGGATCTCCTCCAAATTGAATCAGCAACTGAAGCTTTGCACGGCCCTATCAGACACCTCTCTCCCCGTGGAGTCTGCAGTGGAGAAGTACTGTGGTTGTGTGAAAGATGTTCACAGGGAATAAGAATTAGTTTCTTAGAAATCAAACAAATACTTATGTTTTCTTAAACTTCTTTGAAATAGGAACCTGCTGTTGCTTTCCTTCAGAATAGGGACATGAATAGGGTATTTTCTCGTACCTCATTTTTGACTCATTGTTTATTTTATAACCCCTTAGAAGCCTGAAACGTAAATGTTTCCTTACCGGTCTTTTTTTCCCCCCCTCAATTTCTTCAGCTTCTCTATTTTTTTTAAGTGAATTTAGTGCTTGTGAAAGGTGCCACACATGCCGGTACTGGAGACTGAAATCTTCTTTCTCCACAGAACAGGTACCGCACAGGCAGTAGAAGCACAGGTCTTCCCTCCGCTGCCCTGCCCCATCTGCCTCCCTCAGCCCAGGCCAGGAGACAGCACCGCTAGGGACAGTCTCTCTTTGTCTCTGTATTCGTGGGCTTCTCTGCTGACACTGTCAACAGAGGACTCACTTGTAGTGGTGATTTTCATGCTCTGGCTATTTGCTAGCAGTGTGCTAAGATCACAGCACTGCTCTACTATAGACCACTACGGCTCTCTGATAATTTGAGGTCATTACCAATTGACCTGTTTTGTAGAAGTGAGAGGCTGCGTAGCCTGTTACCACTTCCTAAGCTATCTAGATCCTGTCCTCCTTGCTCAGCCAGCTACCCATGTTCAAACAAATGCCTTTCTTTCCTATTTGGGTCATATCCATGTGCATAACTTGTATTCCTAACTCATCTCCTGCTGCCTGCAATGTGGTGCTTTCCCCTCTGTCTTTTGTCTCTTGGTTTATAATGTATTTCGGCTATGCCAGTTGGCTTCATGCCAGCATGCAGACAACGAAGTGAAGTTTACAGGAATGCTCCTTCAGACTTAACTCTTCAGATTATGGCAGGAGTCTGGTAAAATTCACTTTACTGGCTGTATGTGGGAACAAAGCATGTATAACTAAGGAAAGCAGTGCTAGCTCTTCGGTCATGATATTAAAAGATTATTGACACTTCCGTAAAATTAGAGCTCAAACGCTGCTTTGAGTGAAGTGTATAGAGATGGGGGCGGGAAATATTCACAGCCTTGTCAAAGTTCCTATTTTTCCAGCTGCAGTTGGGCATAAAGCTGACGTTTTTCTTAGATAATTTTACTGCATGACTAGTATGACATATTTTTATAAAGATAAAAAGATAGCCTTCATTTCATTAACTTGTCAGCTTGGGAAAGGAAACTGGAATTCAACACACAATCTGTTTTTCTTGTGACACAATCTTATTTCAATATACAGGGAACAATAGCGAACTCTCTAACATGTGTCCAGCTACATAAGCGAGCTGAGAAGATAGCTGTCATGTTGATGGAAAGAGGACACTTGCAAGATGGAGACCATGTGGCTTTGGTTTATCCACCAGGTAAAGAACTTGCATTTTTTTGTACTATGGTGAACTTAAGCTTCATGAATTAAAACTCCTTTTCAAATCATTTACCCTCATTTTGGTGAAATTGCAGACAGGGTCCTTGCCTAGCTGTAAACCAGACACTTGAATAATCTTTGTCAAAGAGGCATTGCAGTATTTACTCATTTTACAATGCATTTCTTTGAGTTTAGCAAGACGGATTCATTCTGAATTCCCCAGTGTTTTTATTTTTCTTGTGTTGTTTATTCCTGTGAATTTGGGTTAAGATTAAAGCGTATTATTTCAGGATGTCCTTTTAAGGGGCAGGAGCAGGAACAGGAAGAGCCACTACTGGAGGTGATGGGCTGCAGCTGCAGCAGGAGCAGCCCCACCAGAAGCTGTACGCCCTGCCCATGGCCTGGGCCTGCGTGGCTATTGTGTTCTCCGCACCTCCAGCGGCTGCTCCGCTCTCTGCTTTTGGCCTTGCTGCACTGCTCTGGATGTGAAAGGGGGAAGCTTCATCAGGGTGGCTCTTGCCTCAGAGCATGGGGCTCTGGCTTCTGCCCTGGATCGCCTTCCACCCATCCCGCCTGCACTCAAGTGGCTATTGATTGTGCCGAGCGGGTGGAAGGCAGTCAGGAGCTGAAGCCACCCAGTTGAAGCATTCTGCCCCCCTGCTCAGAGCAGCGCAGGAGAGGCAGGAGCAAGAGGAGGAACCGCAGCTGGAGGCAGGAGAGCAGCACAGCACCTGGCCAGCTGCAGCCACACCAGGAACAGCCCCACTGACAGCTGCGTATACTGGTTAATATCCTGGTGGCGTCTGAACTGGCTAGAGCACAATGTGGGCTGCCCCGGTGGGAGCAGATGGTGTCAGCCATATGAGGAATGCTAAGGGGGCAATTGAAGGCCAGAACCAGTCAGTTGGCAGGCCATATTTTGCCCACCCCTGAATTAACCCAATCCATGCAAAGAACTTGTTGAAACTATTTCTTAGTATTAGCTTGCAGAACCTTTTCTAATATATATGTCATGGGGAAGAATCAAGGTGTCCCCGACAGGCCTTCAAGTATCTCTACTAGGAGTCTGACTCTCCGTGTCGATGACCACCCTCTTCACCAGGCGTGGGTGTTACCGTGGTCGTTCATCTTCCCGCGTCACCAACCCCACTTCTCGCCTGCCACGACTTGCTGTTACACTAGTGGGGCAGGGCTAGTTCACGGGTCCCTCGGTGGCCCAGGTCGGCCTTGTCGGTTACACACAGGGCTCCTGCCACCACTACACCCTGCCTCACACCACCTGTGGCCTCCACTTCCCCGTGCCTGCTCAGTGATGATCCTGCAGACTTCTATAGTGGCCTTCGTCTTTGAGTTTCCCCTAAACCCTTGGGTCACTCCTGCCCTGACATCGGGCCCTTCACACCCGCCTGTATTGAGGCCTAAGCCCTATTGCCATAGATACTACACCACCGACCCGTCACCCTATACACCCTGATCTACTTGCTTCCCCCAAAGGGTTCTTCAGTGCCGACTATCTCACTGACCCACCACCAACACCCTATGATACTGCCCGGGAGTAACGCCTCCTGGATATTTAGTGTTGCACCCATTGTCCTTCGATAGACGTCCTCGATTCTCAGCAGCGATCCCGCCACGATCTCGCTCTCCCAGCAGGTGATCCTTCAGTCTCTCGCCCCTCTTTGGCGATTCCCGCACCCACCGCCTTGGCACTTACTTCTTGGTGCTCTGAATCGTCCTGGGTGGTCTCAGTGTTCTGTGGCTCCCCCGACCTGGCACCTCGGGGTCCGTCCACTGGCGATCCCGTCGTCGCTCCTTCTCTCTGTGCCACCGTCCTCCCTGGCACACTGGCTCTCCACTGTCCGTCCCACTGGGCTGGTGTTGGGGACGGCTGAGACAGCCGTTCGTTCCCCTCAGCATCCGCTGCCTCCGGAGCAGCGGCCACCATTTTTAAATCTGCCGGCCGGTGTCTGACGTTATCGTCAGCTGCCGGCTGCAGCTGTACATAGACGCGGCTAACGAGCCGTGCGGGCTCTCTCTCCGCTGCGGCATCCTGCTTGTCCCGCCTTGTAGGTGAGTCTTCCCGGCTTCTTTGGGTTCTGGGACACAAGGGATAGACCCCAAGGGGCCAGGGGGGAACCCTGGGGTCAGGAACACACCGGGGAAGATGAAGGGAGACAGAAAAAAACAGAAAATCCCTTGCCTGTAGCCGGAGCCGCGGTGAAACCAGAAATGGCGGTGGGACCCGAGCAGCTTGTTAGCCACGCCTTTTTAAAGCTGTGGCCAGCTGGTAACCGGGGCGACGGGAGTCGGACGGGGAAGATAAAAGGAGCTGCGGGTGAAGACCCAGGGAAGGGACCCGGAAGGTCGCCAGCGGGAAAGTCGTTCCCAGGACTCCCAGCGGGGGTAACAGGGGGCAGGACTGCCTCCCACTGTGTGGGAAGACTCCTTGAAGTCCGTCGCGGGGAAGATGCCAGCAGCGGCACAGACAAGGGAGAAGAGGAGGCACCTCATTCCGACAAAGGACTCGGAGGGGAAGACTGAGCAGAACAGAAGGAGTGGGACGACGAGAAGTGCCCTCAAAGAACCGGGGAGGATGGCAGAAGACAGGGCACCACACCAGGTGGGACCGGTGCGGGCTCGAGAGGGCTCAAGGAGATACCCCAGGCGGGGGACGAGGGGCCTAAACAACGAGGGGCTGCGGAAGATGAGCCCCAGCAATGCTGAGTCACCCAGCAGGGGACAGGGACAAGACATGGCTAGAGGGACCACCGAGGGTCCAGCAAACACATAAGCTGGGCAAAGAATGGAGCAGAAAATGTGGTAGCCAGCAGGACAGGGCAGACACAGAGCCGGGCCAGTTAGGGGCTTTAGAGGTCGGGTCCTAGTGTAGTGGAGTAGGCTGTGGGCCCAGGTGGTAAAAGGCCAGTAGGCACATCCTAAGCAACCCGGGAGCCTATCTGGTATTGGTATTGTTGGGGGGTTTTTTCTCTTTCTGTTGCCCACTTTTGGAGGGGTTGTTAGGTACGGCCTAGAGAGAGCCCCTAGTGTTGGCTAAACCACGAGAACCTCAAGGAGAACTAGACGGTTGCAGGACCCGGTAGGTAGAGTACATGGTGAGCCCAGGTGGCCTATTGCCCATCTCTATAGGAGGACATGGGACACCAACAGTCGGACATCTGGCCAAACATCATCAGGAACTCATCGTGGCTGGGTATAAGAGCGAGGTATAGGGGAGGTGGAGCCTCGTGGAAGATCACCATTCACAGGTCCCAGATGCTTGAGAACCCCGGTAGTCGGACCCAACCACTGGAGTAAGATACAAAGTCTTGGCAGGCGAGATTGGGGAAAAGACTACCCCAAAGTGGGGGAGCATCCACTCGGCAAGATCTCAGAGAAGGATCAGCGGACATCTCTATACATCCGGGATCGTGTGGCATGTGACCGGATGTTCGAGGCCCAACGGGTGCAATATACACATAAACGTATATATTTCAGTCTCCATGGAAAATATCATGTTTTATTTTAAAAAGAGTAAGCCATAAATCAAGAACCCTTTACTTCTAACTGCCCCATTAAAAAAGTAAAACTATTTGCATTGCATTCTTGTAATGACCTGCATATAGAGTGTAAGGAACTATCAAACAAAATAATTGTATGCTGTTTTGAATGTATAAATTCAGCTGCCTATAGAATGTGATGCAGTGGTGCTCAGCTTCTAGCCCACAGGCCAGATCTGGCCCACAGAGCCGTGTCATCCAGGCTGCAGGTTTCCCCACAGGTCCAGAAATTTGGCTGTGGGGAGTGAGTGGTGGCAACATTAATTGCCATTCCCCTGCTGACAAATATCTGGACCTGTGGGTAGCCCTGCAGGCCAGATAACATGGCCCTGCCCCGGCACATGGAGTCAGGCCAACATATGGCCTGATTCAAGTGTGCAGGTTGGGCGGTCCTAGTTTAACTCATTTTTCTGTATTAGCTGTATGAACTGATCCTTATAATCACGATTTATTTTTAAAAAATGCTTAACACATGTCAGAAATAAGGAGTATGAAGTGAGGACATTGCCTTTTTCATTTGAACCCTTCAAGAAGACAAGCCAAAGCCTCTCATTTTTAAGGTCCAGTGGCATAGAAAAGAATTAGAAAATACATTTTTTAAAATGGAACTTTTCACACTATATAGGAGTAGTGAAATGTCACAGTCTTACTTTTTCTTTGTTTGACTGTTCCCTTAAAGGCTATTGTGTAGAAATTAAAATATAACACATTTAATTAGTTATAATTCAACTTTTTATCTAGTGAATTGTTTATCAGAACCCTGAGTGATGACATGTTGTTCATACTTTTAGATCAGTCTAGTTATTTCATGCTTAAAAGAACTCCACAGATTAAAATAATCAGTGCAGTTTACCAAATAAGGGGTAGGGACAGAAAAATAATGTGTGGAAGATTTGTAGTTACTCATTTAACATCCTAAGCCATTTCAGAGTAGGATGTATACTTACACAGTATGCTTACATAGGTTTCTCCAGTTAATGATTGGATTTTCAAGTAAGAATGTTTTGCTTTGTTCTTCATGCAGGGATAGACCTGATTGCAGCATTTTATGGTTGCCTGTATGCAGGCTGTGTGCCAATAACAGTTCGACCTCCACATCCACAGAACATTGCAACAACATTACCTACGGTGAAGATGATTGTGGAGGTGAGTGGACATCTGGAAATGTGAAAGCTGCTTAAACAGGCGGTGGGCTAATATGCTTTTTAGGAGCTTTTCCATTGAAGTCAGCAAAAGACACCGGGTTTTGTAACCTCTGAGTTCATATTTCATGTTACAGGGCCCGAGCCAATAATGTATCACAAAGTCAGGGATGAGAGAACATTTAACACCCTCAGACTTTCAGAACTATATAAGCAGCCACCTACACTGCCACTTTCCAGAAGCAATTTAGATATGTTTTCCAGTATTTGACACTACACCAGGTTTCACAGACTTCCTAGTGACATTTTCACTGACCTACCGTGTTACTGATGTGTAAAACAGTCCACTACACAGACCAGAAAATAATATTGCAGAAAATAATATTAAGAGTCCATTTAATGTGGTTCAGGCCAAGCAACTGGAAAAAAAATGTTTAAGTTAAAAGAGTTTCAGCAGGTCTGTATACAGGTATGTACTCTTTATGTTTTAAAGGCCTCTTACAAAGTTTTGGAAGCAAGTGTAGTAAAGGGAGTTACTAATTTTGAAGTTGTACCATAGACAGGTCTTTACCCAGAGAGGGGTGATTTGGACTTTTTTTGTCTTTTCATTTTATCTGGTCAAACTGGAGTCATTTCTTACACTAAGGCTCCTGCCACACTTTACATATAGTATTCAATTAACTGGTTAATCACACAATACATCTAGATCAGCCACACATGCAGGGTAAGACTCATCACATTTGAAAAGTAAATTATCATGCTATTAACTGGTTAATTGTGTAATAAATTCAAACTGGTCTTGCTTGCAACCTAACTATAACGCTATATAAACGTCCATCCAGCTGTCCATCCAGCTATAAAGTTAGTGCTTGAAAATGTGTAAGAAGTCTATAGCTGGTTTCTATCCAGGCTTAATTTGAACATGTGGTATGGCTGTAATACAGTCGCTTTAACGCTGATTGGGAGGGGGGGCGTGATTTCGGAGCGGGGACTTCTTACTGGTGATGCCTTCTGAGAAAACCTTAAATAGGACATACAAAGAACTAGAACTCTTGGTTCCAAATTGATACCTTTTATTAGAACAACTGAAAAATGGCAAGAAAATTGTCCTTTTCTGCAAGCTTTCGGGATCAGAGTCCCTTCGTCAGGCTCTGGGAAAAGTGTAGATGGTACAAGATGGTAAAAAGTCCCCATAGGTAGTTAATAGATTTTTTTAACCAATTAAATACATCTCTAGGATTTTTTAGGATATAAAACTATTATTTAGGGACCAGGGACAAATAAACTTGTGTGAGATAACAGGGTTGTTCACAGAATGAGATGCTGCTCAGGATGAGTACAGGTATTAGAATCTGACCTAGTAGCAGCAAAGCAGTGGTCTTGTTGATCCTTTTGAGGTACTTAAACCTGTGTAGTGTGTAATAACTGGTTAGTTTGCTCAGTGTTTGACAGTCAGGTTTGGCTAAAATGAGCTCTATTGGCTTGTTCAGCAAATCTTAAGATGAGGCTAAGACCCCTGGCAGATGTGGCACTTATGGCATGACTAATCATGTCTTAAGTCATAACCTGGTCACATGTTCAGAGCAATTAATATTACAGTAAAACAGGGAATAAGTAACTTATTACAATGATCACCAATCAGCTGATCAACGGCTCCCATGTGCTACTGAGGCTGGTAGTACTGATCACTTACTAGTGCTTCCGGCCCTGGGGACACACTGGAGAGAAGGGCTCTGATGCGCTCCTGAGGCTGGGAATGCTAACCAACTGATTGGTGCTCTGAGCCAGGCACACTGGATGCACAGTTTGCTGCTTGTCAAAAGGACACAGTTGAATCCCTATCACACAGTCACACCTTCTGCCATGCACACGTAGCATGGCAGGAGGCGTGATCATTGGAATCGGGGATCAGATCCTATCATGTTTTTACTTGAACATCTACCAGGGGCCTAAGGTGTCTCATGGTTGTTTGGCCCTTTTCAGTGGGCTGATTTCCAATCAGAAATCGCAGAACACATTAATACCAGTTTAACCTAAAATCCTCTCAGCTTTAATTCATAGAAGGACTTTCTCTTATTTTAGAGGTGCATGAATTTATGAAGATTAAATATAGAGCTTATTCTTTTCATTGTCAATACATTGCTGTAATGTTGGAAAATCCTGCCTTTACACACATACCTTTTTCTATCAATCTGAAAACAGAACTGTGCTTTGGAGATGTTAGCAGTCAATGGAATTCAACTCTATTGTGAGCTCAATCTCACTATATGTTGCTAAATGGTTTAAGAGGTTATAGATAGGGGGCCTATCCAATACGAGAAGGTGGCCGCCCGATTTCGGAGGGAGAGCACAGGGCTGACTACCATTTTCATGGGCTAATCATGGAGCTGTCCCCACAGACCTCTGATTGCCTGAGAGGCCCTGGTTGCCCCGCCCCTTGCTGCTGATTGACTGCAAGGGCTGTCTGTCATACAGCCCTGTCCCTCACCACTGGTTGGTTGCAAGGGCTATCTGTCATGCTGCCCCACCCCTTGCCACTGATTGGTGAAGAGGGACAGGGCTGCATGACAGGCAGCCTTCTCAGCCAGTCAGTGGCAAGGGGTGGAGGCAGCAGTCATCTTGGGTTTCCACGTGTGCCGGCAGCCGGCCCTCCCCACTTCTTCCCCTGGCAGGCTGCATCGCCAGGTTGCAGCACTCCCCCTAGGGAGCCAGCATCTTATTTTCAGTAAGGTTTCTATTTTTACAGATTTTGCGTGCAGGGTTGGATTTTGCAATTTCCATGAAATCCGCAAAATTGCAATTTCGGTAGATCCCTAATTATAGACTTGACTGTAATCTAATTATGTAAAATACAGTGAAGGTAACAGAAATGAATATTGTCCCTTCCAAAGAGGACATTGGATTTTGTCCTTCCATCAAGGAGTTTGCAAGAGGTTCATCTCTCCTCCCCAGTTTAGTGATAACTGGGATAGCCCTGAGGTCCAGAGTTTCTCCACACGATCCTGACTTCCATGATAATGTTGTTCCTTACAGCCATTTGCCCTTGAAACTCTTCTTCCAGTGGTTTCATTGTGGCCCAGACCACGTAAGGTAGGATTGAGTGTTACCTTGTCCTAGGATGACACACAAAGTTGAGAGCAAAGGATGTTCTAAGAACCGTGCCCTCATCCTTTTCTACTCCAAATAGCATAACTTAGAGAGGTATCCTTGGGCACCACCTTTGTGGGTTGGCGCAAAAATAGCCACTGCCACAGCAGTGGCTGACCATTATACCACCAATGGCGCTGTCATACCTGTCACTACTCCGTACTTCATGATTGCTCCAAGTGTAGGGCTGCCCTGCTATGCTTCTGCCTATACCTGATCTACACAGAACACCACAGTGGGTATTTATTGAATCAGAGCCAGTGGAGAGTTGCTGCAACAGAGCCTTTGTTCCTGTTGCTGCCTGCTGTTATGCCTGCTGTTTCTCCCTAGAGTGTTTCTCTGAGGAGAGGGGCAATCTGTATTTCTCAGTATCATTACTGATAACCTCCTGTGATCAAGTGGTAAACTTGCTGTATATGAGATTGAAAGTACGGTACTCAACAAGTGGTTTCTTCAGATAGGGACAATATTGTAGGGAATAGCTTTTGAACTGAGCTCAGTGCTAGAGGAACTCGTAGATTAAATTTTCACAATGCACTTTCCTCTCTGCTGGAGGCATGAGTAAGAATATCTCTATTACTGACAGTACTGACAGTAGCCAGTGGAATGGTGGTTTCCTAACCAGTAGTTTTCAAGGTAATGGTTTGCAGTGCTGTCAAGCCCAAGTCCTTGGCTCAGGTTCCATGTGGATTGCATTTATAAGGGCCCTGCTACATGTTCACATTAAAGCTAGATAGAAACTACTACAGAGTTGTTACATATTTTCAAGCACTATCTTTATAGCTGGTTAGCTCTTTTTATAGCGGGAAAAGCATTTTTATTTTGTCATAATTAATTTGCACAGGTGGCGGGTCTAAATTTATTATTGCGTGATTAACCAGTCAATTATGTGATAATTACTTTGCACTTGTGGCCAGTCTAAATTTATTGTGCAATTAATTAGCTAGTTGCAGAATATATGTAACATGTAACGGGGGCCTTAGAAATACTTGTCCTCACAGAACTGCAAAAACCAGAAATGAGAAGGAAAGTCTTTCCTTTTACATTTTCCATTCTGTGCCCATTGATTACAAATGTTCAATACTATAGTTGCCTGACTTTTATTTGCATATAATGTATGACATATTTTTTCATTTGGTACCCAGTTAACGTATTTGTTAAACTATCCATTCTCAAACAAGAGAATCTCCCCAATGTAAAATCCAGTAGACTTTTGAATGTAGTCAAAAGTGAAAGAGTAAACTTACTGTAAGTGCCACTTGAGAAACGACCATTGTAAAGCTGTCATTTGAAATATCAAAATTCTCTACAGTGAAGCCTTATTAAGTCCCTAGTGTTCCTGCAGAGAATCCTGTTTGTTTGATTTAGTGTAGAAATCAAGGTTACAAGGCTAGCCAAATCATATTGACTTACTGTGGTGAGATCACTAGAGCATAGTAAGGATTTTATTAATATTATTTTTATAAACAACTTGTGTTACCTTCACTTAGGTTATATTTATCATAACCTTCTCTGTGGGATCTGTGAATAAAAACATGTAAGGAAAGCTAAATTTTCCATATTAATGTGCTATTAGTCTCAGTGTAGCAATTTACCGCAAGTTATAAGATTTACTTGGCTTGCTTGACTTGTAATATAACCTATGAATTTTCAGAGAACTCCCCATCTGGACATACCTTTGTCTCCTAGTCAAGGAATATAAGGTCAATAAACTTATATATCCTGTTGTAAATTAAATTGTTGGCTTACATGCTTTTGCATGTGAAGTAATCAGTGTCTCATTTCCTTTTTGCTTGTTGAATTCTCAGGTGAGTCGTTCAGCCTGTTTAATGACTACACAATTAATATGTAAATTGTTACGGTCACGAGAGGCAGCAGCAGCAGTGGATATCAGAACGTGGCCTCCTGTACTAGATACAGGTGAGTACAAAAGCTAGGCATATGCCACGTCTTTTTTCTGTTGAACTTTTCATGTTCAAAGATCGCTGCAGTTGACTGCCTGCCACACACACTTCCATTTTAATTTTTTTCTAGATGACTTGCCAAAGAAGCGGCCTGCTCAAATCTACAAACCTTCTAACCCTGATACACTGGCTTATCTCGACTTCAGTGTATCCACAACTGGAATGCTGGCAGGAGTAAAGGTAGGAATTTCATATTGAAGTCAGATATTCTTGGCATATATCAAACAAGCATGAAGTCTGACTTGATTGGGCACATGGCATGTTGCTTTGGATTTTGCAGAATGTTCCTTCAGTTACTAAAAGTTAAATCACTTTCTCTTCTCAGTAATCAGGCACCTGCAGTTGTTTCATTCCCAAACTTGGGAGCTGCTCTTCCATCAGTAATAGTACCTTGCTTTTGGTAGGTGCATGTAATCAAAGATTACATAGACTGTAAGGCCAGAAGGTACTGTTAGATCACCTGGTCTGACCTTCTGGATACTATAGGATCATTCATCCAGCTATACCTGATTATTCAGCCAGATAACTTGTTGGCTACAGCATATCTTCTACAAAGATCTCCAGTCTTGATTTGAGATATGATAAGTGGAGAATTGACCCATCTCCCTTGGTAATTGGTTTCAGTATTAATCACCCATGGTTAAACATGTTTGTCTTATTTCCAATTTGAACCTGTCTGGCTTCAGCTTCCAGCCCTTGATTCTTGTTAAGCCTACCTTTCCTGATTTAAAGGAACCTTTAATACTGTCAGTAGTTTCTCCTGCTCAAGGTACTTATGGCCAAAATTCTCTCTTAATCCTCTTCTTTGGTAATTTAAACATAGCAGCTTCTAAATCTCCTACTACTCCAGTACTCATATAATTTTTGTGACTGTTTTCTGAATCCTCTCAAATCTTTCAACATACTTTGTCTAGTATCAACAACATCCTTTTTCTGGTATCAGAAATGGCCTTACACAGAGATGAAATCACCATTCTATTCCTACTTGCTGCTACTCTATTTATAGGATCTTGCCAATGTATCATGTTATATTGCTTGCCCATTGTGACCCTCAATATATTGCATTCAGTGCACTTTAGAAAAGATTATTTCCATTATTCCCATCATTGAGATGGGAAAGTTGATAACATGGTAGCAGGGTAAAGTGATTTGCCCTCTTCCACAGCTTCAGGTGACTTATCTGCAAGTGATTGTGCCTCTAACTTGCAGAAAGTGACAATCAGCTTTCCTTGGTCACTGCCTGTGCAGCTACAAAGATTGGTCAGTGTGACAGAAGAGTGAAGAGCATTTTTCTCTACCAGTGGCAATCATTTGCTTTTGTTGAATCCTGCTTATTTAACTTCAGCTAAAGTACAATGCTAACTGGAGAGGTCATAAAGCTCCAAATGGGGTACAGAGTTACTAGTGCATTGGCTCAAAACACATCAAGTTATCAGCTAGATTAGGGGTGTCAAATATACAGCCCACAAGCCAGATCCAGCCCACAGAGCCACATCTGCCCTGTGGGTCTCTAGACTGCATGTCTCATGTGGCACAAGGGATCAATGCCTCTGGCACTCATGCTGAACTGGCTCTGCACACTAGTTGTGGGACTGGTCTGGACCATGTTGTACAGAGCCAGTATACTGGGCCAGTTTGGCAGGGTGTCACATGCAGTGCAAGCCCCAGGCTGGCCCACTCTACCACATGCACAGCTGGTTCAGCCTGAACACTGCATGCAGCACGTGCCAGCCCTGGGGCTCACTCTGCATATGGCACATAAGCTAGATGTGGTGTGGCACACAGCACAAGGGGATCTGAGGCATGGGCTTCATGTAGTGCCCCACCAGACCAGACCTGCATGCTAGCTCCGGCATGCACAGGTGGCCTGGGACCCAATCCAGACAAGCCCCAAAGCCAGCATGCAGAGCCAGTCCAGTGGGAGGCTGCATCCACCCCGAACTGGCCCCATGTTGCATGCAGGACTGGGTCCAGCCTGCACACTATATACAGAGAGCGCCCTGGGGGTAGCTTGTGCTGCATGCAGCACCCAGCCTGGATCCAGCATCATGGGTGCTACGTGTGGCACAGAGTGTCTCCAAATCCAGCCCACAGATTGGCCCAGCAACCTTATTTGATACCCCTGTGGTAGATTATTACTAATTATTGCATATTTATTTTACTAGAAGCCACAGAGTTAGTGAGGTTTGGACAAAAAACTCATAGGATGACACCACTTCTTGTTCCAAAGAGTTTGATCTAATCGTTTAAAATGCATACAACCCTAGTTGGGCTCTCTGGGATAGTACTGATGAAACTTGGCAGTAACTTTTCTGTACATTGAGTGTTTTATTGTCTGTCAGCCCCAAGAACTAACGCTCTTAAAAGAAACATCTGAAGAGTTTTCCTTTCTTATCAGTACTAAATTTTATTGTCAGCTACATCAGTTTCTCAGAGTTTTTTAATAAAAAAAAGTAAAAGAACTCACTCTCAATTAGGAATGGCTAAAATATGGAACTGTTTATGGCTCTCTTTTTATTGAGTTTATTTTGATGTTATAAATGGTTGATCGAGCCAACTGTGCTGCTTGATATTCAAAACACCCACTGGAGCTAGAAATGTATTGTGCCAATGGAAGTTTTCTGGGATCAGGCTCTTTGATGCAATTGTATCTCAGTTTTATTTTGGATACACTTTATTGTATTAGTTTAACATGACACATTATTAACAATAGATAGATAAATCCAAGCTGATACTTTAGACTACTGCTTATACAGATTTTACTATCCTGAGGGTTTTATCATCCTTATTAAAGTTCAGCTCATTCGCCTTCTCTTCGCATTTTGCTTTAAGTAAGTCTTTAAGCCATTCAGGATAATATGCCATAAATCTATTAAACTTATGACTTTTTTTATGTCTTCCTTTTCCTTTCATGGTTATTTGGGTCACCTCTTGAAAGAAGATTAATTGTCAACATCTATAAATTACAGTATGTATTTATGCTGTACACGAAGTCGATATTTATTTGTTTTCTTCATCCTGTTTCTGATTTAAGGACCGGCAATGACTCGAAGATGGCAGAGTTTATCATTTTAATTACTGCCCAATTTTCTTCCAGATGTCTCATGCAGCCACTAGTGCCTTTTGTCGTTCTATTAAGCTGCAGTGTGAGCTTTATCCTTCCAGAGAAGTTGCTATCTGTTTGGACCCTTACTGTGGACTTGGGTTTGTCCTCTGGTGCCTCTGCAGGTGAGGTTTCCCTTTATTTTTTCCACTAAAGTGCAAAACGGAAGACCAAAGTGACTTGAGTAATGAGAAGATGGTGAGAATAGTTGGAAAATATCATAGGAAATTGGAATTGCCAAAAACAAAAAAAGTTTTGAGTCAGGCATGGCCCTGTATATTTGTTGTCTGTCAGTGTGGAGAGTCAGCATATCTGTTCCCTAACCTTCTGCCATTTGAGTCACATATTTATAAGATCTTGCTATCCTTATTTGATGAACAACAGTACTCTAACAGAATTACACTAACACAACACTGTCATCTTGTCTTTAATCTGGAAGCACACACTGATCTTGGAACATTTTAGGCCATTCTCTTTTGGGGGATGTTTAGGGCAGTGAATTAGATGGGGAAACAGAAGTGCATTTGATTATAAAGAAACACTCAGAGTAGCAGGCAGAATAGCAGCACAAGACTGTTATAAAATGGGAAATTTCATTCAGCTCTAATTAAAAGAAGTTTACAGATTTCAGCGTGTGGATCTCTGTACCCTAGACAAGGTGTTCTGTGGCAGTGAAAGTACTTATCTTCAAAAACTGTTCATCTGTCTGGGTAGACACAGAGAAAAAATTGAGATTTTCATAGAAGAAAACTGAGAACGTGGCACAAGGAAGAGATATGAAAGTGTAACTGGAATCACTTTTATAATTAGCAATGTTAGAACTGCAAATATTCCAGCATTTTGATATGCTTCACTGAAAGTTCCTTGGAATGGCAATATTTCTGGTTTCAAATTAATATTCAAATTAAATCTGAAATTAAGATAACTTTGGGATATTTCAAAAACACATGTCTGAATGAATGTTTTACTAAATTATTCAACATCTTGTTGGAAACGGTATTTTGTCCAGATGAATAGTTCCCAATCTTGGGGTCGTGTACTCCCAGTGAGGGAGGCATGGGGCGGGAGGTATGTGCCTCCCATATATGTGCACAGGGCAGGGGCAGATGTAGGCTGCCTGCTGCATCTTGGGCCTGCACATACTGCACGTGTGGGTCTCCATGGCAGAGAGAGGTTGGATGGAGAGGCTTGATGCTGCTGCCGGGAGCCCTAGGCCAGCCTCACTGCCATGGTGAGGCACCCCCTGCCACCTGGCATCAGTGGGGGCCATAACTCTGCGCCAGCACTGCCACTGCTGCCAGGCGGGCAGGGGGTACCTCACCGTGGCAGCATGGCTGGTGTGGGGGTCCCAGCAGTGACACTGAGCCGAGCCTCCCTCCCACATGGAGTCCAGCCCACAGTACTGCAGGGGGCCTCAGTGGGGGGGGGCAGCAGAGGGTAGCAGGGCAGGGAGCCCTGAGTCCACAGTGGGCAGTCTGCATTCTCTCCCCGACCTTGGGCCCTGCTCCAGCCATGTAGGGGCCCTGGTCCTGTAACCCTGAGAGATTGAGGACCCTTCTGGCAAGGCTTTGGGGGGGGG